GAAGGATTTTCTCGACGAAAGGGAAGCAGCGTAGTTCTTAAGGGAACGATACCTAAATTTCAACAGCAACATTGTTGTAACGTCACTAATTGCTCAATTCGTCACTCAATCCAATCGACGAATTGAGCACCATATCCATCGAAACAGCATCCATGCCCAAGTTTGGACATCGTTATGTAACGATATCTATGTAAGCAAACTCAGGATCGCAAGGCATCTAGTATTATTTAGGAATGCCAAAGGAACAGAGACTAATATTATGGTGGGAGGGAACAGAGTGAGATATACCACATATCGCCTGGAGCCAAAAAGTAACATGTTGTAGAGTAGCAATTTGTTAAGAGTTGTGTATAAAGATGAAAGATGATTGAGCCATGAAGGCGACACGTGTAAAGTCAACCCGTTGCGAATTTGAGTCCTGGTTGTCCTCCCCTGATTTGGCTTCACATGTGCCAAGCGCGTCCTTTAAAACCAACAAACTCATCGATTCGTGCTTCCAATTAGCATTATCGCGACTGCGCCGTGATTTTCTACGTTTCACGCGAATCCAACCTTTAAAAACTCCCTCTTCTACTTCCATCATTCACCTATACCCAAACACACAAGCCTACACAGAAATGGCAAGCAGGTTGATATCCCGAGGAGTTGGAATCGCTAAAAGCGTCACCAAACAACCAGTAATTCGATCTACTGTTGCCACATCCAGGTTTCATGCTTCAGCATTGCAATACGCAGCGATAAAACTTGGAAGCGTCGTTGAAAGAGGAGACAAGGACTTCCACACTACATTAACTGAGGCTGGAGATACAGTAGTCATTGTCGATTTCTATGCCGAGTAAGCTTACCTCTCGTTGGTTGGAATTTGAGGTTGTTTTCTGTGACATCAACTTTGGATTTCAAACACATATATACTTGACTAGTTGGTGTGGACCATGTCGAGTATTAGCACCTGCATTGAAGCGAGTAGTTGAAAAGAATGGCAAGACCTTTTTGGTGAAGGTGAATGTAGATGAGGCTGGAGAGGTAGCTGAAAAGTATGAGGTGAGTTGTTTGGCCTTGAATGGTGTATGCGTCTTGGAAAGAATGGGAGGAAGCATCAAGATGCTACACTGGAAGCTATTATTTCATTCGATATGCCATAAACTTGATCCGCCGCAAAACACCTCGAAAAGCCAGGGTTGGCAATGTATTGGCAATTCACATATTGACGAATACACGTTGTTCTTGTATTAGATCACGTCGCTGCCTACTGTAGCAGCATTCAAGTCTGGAAAGATGATTGATAAATTCATTGGCTCCCGTGATGAAATCACCATCACGAAATTCGTTGATTCCGCCATTGCAAAGAAATAAATCTGTGCCGCACGTAGAATTTGTATAGAAAAATCCCTCCTTACTTATTGAATAGCATTACACTCTGAGCAACTACCTTCCATGGCCTTGACCCGCTCGTCTTGACGACTTGCCAATTTTACCCGATAGCTTTTGCCTTCTTCTCAGATTAACACCCCCACCAAAACCCACAAGGAAACATCGACCTTTACAACATTAATACGAACAAAACCACCCCGGACAAACGAGCATGATGGCCACAACCACCACACAACCCATGGCAATCCCCATGCGAGGAGCCCCTGCGACCACAGCAGTCGACACAGACAAGTTATCGCCGCCTATGGGGAAATCACTCCCCAAAGTAAACGGATGGCTAATGGCCAACTCGCCACCATCGCAACAGTCTGTGGCTGCTGAACTCAGGTACATTTCCCTTACACATCAGTTGTCTCTCCTCAATTCCTATTGTTTGAAATCGCACCTTCCAAGCACGTTATCAGTGTGACCAAAAATAGACAACTAATGATAACGTTGTTTCTTGATAGTGCTTCTGCCAAAGTTAGAGCACGAACTGTAAACTTGTATGCCAACCATGCCGTTAATGATGATCACCACCATTAAATCAACCAAACTTCTGGGGGAAACTGTTAAGTCTGTCATGTGGTGATGTGTTATGGGGGGGGGATAAATGTCAATTGTGTGGGGGAGAGTGTGTGCTCGAGTCTATCTGTTAGTATTGTATAGTTTTACCAATTTGCTAGTTTATCAAAGTGGTAGTTTGCCTATAGTAATCTGTTCTCTCTTTTTTGAATCACAAAACCGGTGCTTCTCTTTTACAAACCCAATATAATGCTGCTTTTACAATATTCAAATCTGGATTCTAACTATCTCTCTATTAATTCTTTAACTATGAGTCATATAACAACAACTGGAATTTACACAACAAAGCGGTTCAACCTCCAAACGCACTACTTTTCGGTTCACTTCTCCTGAATACTACTATGTCTTTCACCACCACTACTGTTCCACTCTCTCCTTCTATGTCAAATGTATCTTCTTGTCCCCAACATCTGAGGATTTTGCCAAACTCTAAACTTGTATACTGTTGCCTTATAATGGAACACCTTTCAACAATGAGAGGTTTCCTTCTCTAACCAGTCTTATTTGTATATCTCCGAGTGTTGAAGTAGCGAAGCCTGCTTCACAGTACGCAAAGTCTAAATGTGCCAAGGAGTTGGAATCAGTTTCAACACGTAGCATCACCCCGCTTCCATTGAACTTACAGAACTCCCACTTGCGTTTAAACTCGTCGTCATAGACTTCAGAGTTAATACCACTACTAGCTACAACAGCATCATACTGTTGACAAAACTTTTCTCTCCATAGACGCAATGCCTTTGCGTAGTGTGGCCCGATATCTTCGAGATGATTGATGACAAAGTTTCCGTGGGCGCCTTGATGGATGGCGGTTGTGAGAGCAGTGATGGAGGGACAGTGGCCTATCATGTACTGGTTTGATCAGCGCCGTGTTCAAATATAGTTGGTCCTTGTGAGAAACTGCTGACTACTTCAACAGAACACACCTCCAGGGAAGATATACTTTTGGATGAAATCGACTGAATTGAGGTATGAGTCGTATCGCGATTCAGGCATAGTGATGACCTAGATGTGTTTTTGAAAACTTGTGTGAGCTACATTCGACGGACGTACGTAGCTTTTTTTGGCATTACCTGTAAGACTAGAATACCATCCTTCTTCAATAGCTGGTCACAAGTCTCAAAGAATGTTGGCAGAAACTGTGGTCCAACCGCCTCTAGCATTTCAACAGTAACAATCTTGTCAAACTGTTGATCTTTGGCCAGAGTTCTGTAGTCTTGCAACAAGACTGTGATGGAATCGGAAAAGCCGGCAGCCTTGATTCTTTGTTCGGCCAAGACTTTTTGTTCCTTGGAGAGCGTCAAGGAAGTTACTTTGCACTTGTACTTTTTAACTGCCTAAGGAAAACAGGATGTATCCTCAGTACGGATATCGTTACGGGGCTTTCCGGTGGATGATGATAGTTTTACCTCTATTGCCAATGCGCCCCAGCCAGTCCCGATCTCTAAAACATTATCGCCCTCTTGAATTTGAGCCTTTTCAAGCACAGTATGAATCTTTCTTAACTGTGCATCCATCAATGTTTCATCTTCCTTAGCCCAGATGGGACAAGAGTAAGTCTGCACATATGAGAATAGAATTAACGATAGTGTAAAAAGGATTTGGCGAGACACGAAATCACACCATAGTTGGATCCAAGAAGCTTGCAAAAAGCTCATTTCCGAGATCATAATGAGCCTTGATGTTGTTTAAGGCATTATAGATGGTGTTTGGAATGTTTGAATGCAGGATTGTGACGAGTAGTTCCGAGATTCGGAAGGGATCCATGTCGCCGATGACATCTCTGTTGATGATGAATAGCTTGAGGAGGACTGCCAGATTGTCGACGCGGACTTCATCTGCCATGAAGGCTTCAGCGAATCCCTATAGTAAGGAGTGTCAAATGAGTACTAGTTGCAACACGATTCAGCCCGAACGTTCCAGTGCTCAAATCGGCTTGCATACCAGTGCACTGAATGTGGCTAGCCGGATCCACAATGAATCGCTCAAGACGTGGACGTGAGCTCGCATGTCCGAGTCCTTGTCACCAAATTCGTGAATCTGGTTGTTCTGGACTTCAACAGTCAAGTAGCCAATATGCATCTTGGTCAATGATCCAAGACATGCAGATTGAGCTAGGTTTGGAAAAAGGAATATGGGGTTAGCTTGTATGTTGTTTCCTGCAATGCTTCATGTTGAAAATATGCACAGGATCAAAAGATATGAGGATGCGAATGGATTCCAAACTAGTCGATGAAGCAAAACGCGTACCTAATGAAGCTAGCATGCGATATGGGGCGTTGAAGATCGAAGTAAGAGCTGAAGTCGATTTCGGGACGGCAAGAAGCTGGCCATTTTCAGGCTTGAGTTGGGGTTTGAGTGGCATTGTAGATAGATTCACGTGCAATCAGTAGGGATATAGTGTCTCGATCTTATTTTTAAATGGTTGGAATGGATTGATGTTAGTTGTGGAGAAACTTGACAAAGACATTAGCAAACGAACCCCTGAGCAAAACCACAAAGATTCAAAAGATTCTCGATCTGCAAGGTACACGTATTCCAAGACAGTCATATACTCCGCTTACCTCTGATTCCTACTGACCCGGCTTGCTTAGAGCGATCGCAGCTTGTTAGTGGACTGTTCGGAATCTGCAAAACTCGCATCCAAACATTTATGCAAGATGGTTCACAGGATAGCTGTTGTCGTAAGTCAAACGACAGCATTTCGTGTCTCTTTATAATTATAGTCCAGTACATATTCGACATTGGTCTATCTTTGTGCATCGCATCGCATTGCTCTGACAATCACTACCTTAGGGATCCGGAATTTCCGGATTGTCTGCTGCCTATCTATTGGCTCGCCAACCAGAAAAGTTTCAAGTAGTTGTATATGAAGAAGGCGAATGGATTGGAGGTCATACTCATACTGTCGAAATCGAGAGCTTGTATGATCCGAAGCTCAAAGCTCCTGTGGACACGGGGTTTATTGTCTGCAATCCTCATACAGTATGTCCATATGGTAGAGCTTATTAGCATGTGTAGCGTACAACATCGCATGAGTTCTGTCTCGGTGGTCTTGTTCCCGGCTAATGCATACCAACACACTCTTATCTCACAAGCAACCCTACTCTCTCACGCCTAGTATCCAAACTTGTTGAACTTTTTGAAGCAGCTGAATGTCGAGCTTACAGATTCCAACATGTCCTTTGCAGTCTCTAAAGATAAAGGAGTCTTTGAATGGGCTGGTGACAATATAGACACTGTTTTCGCCCAACGATCCAACCTATTCAGCTTAAACATGTGGAGAATGATTTGGGACACTATTCGTTTCGATGAACAAGCCACTGATATCGCAGAGCAAGTGGATCAAGATATGTATGATGAGGCTGGCAAGATGAGAGCTGATGCCGATACATTCGTCAAAGGTGATAGGAATAACTCTTCGTGGTCTTTTTTGCATGACCAAACATGATAACGTTTGAATGCTAGGTCATCCATATGCTCATATGACGTTGGCAGAGTTCTTTACAAAATATAATTATTCAAAGTTCTTCTACGAGTCGTATATCGTGCCAATGACCGCCTCTGTATGGAGTGCACCGGCTGATATGGCATTAGATCAGTTCCCATTGCTGACTTTGGTGCGCTTTATGCGTAATCATATGCTACTTCAAGTTACAGATCGGCCTACGTGGAGGACTGTGTTGAATGGAAGGTAAAAAAACCAGGTTGTAAAAGTCGCATAACATTAGACTCACGTCTGACATCTCAAACTTTTATTTAGCAAAAGTTATGTGAACAAGATTCTCGAAACAGTCAAAGACGTACGTCTTAATACAGCCGTTACGTCTATAACACGATCCAAGGATAAAAACTCAACACATCCACGTACAATTACTATAAATGATTCCCGAGGTGGCTCTGAAGTATTCGACCATGTTATATTGGCATGTCATACGGATCAAGCATTGAAGATTCTAGGACCAGAAGCAACACCAGACGAACAAAAGATAATCGGTGGTATCAAATATGTCAGAAATCGCGCAGTGTTGCATCGTGATCCTTCGGTAAAAATCGCCTTCATCGCTGAAGTAATTGTGCATTTTACCACTCACAATTCTTCCTTTTTTTGTGTTGCAGCTCATGCCAGTCCGCCGCAAAACATGGAGCTCTTGGAATTATTTGCTCGATTCAACGAAATTAAACACAATGTGTCTCACATACTGGATGAACCGCTTACAAACCTTCATTCCCGTACAAGAGTTTGGAGATGTGTTTGTCACCATGAATCCAATGTGGGAACCAAAAGGTCCTGTCTTGGGTGAATGGTATTATGACCATCCGTATTATTGTAATGAGACCATCATGTCACAGGAAACCTTGAACAAGATCCAGGGATTGTATTGTACGACTTATTGTGGAGCGTGGACGAATTATGGATTTCATGGTAAAGCGCATTCTGTTGCTCAGTATGGCAATTGTGTTTCCTGGCCAACGATTCTTTTGTCGCTTTAGAGGATGGACTTACGTCAGGTCTACTCGCAGCTCTATCACTCGGAGCTACCAGTCCATTCCCAGTTGTACTGAATGGCGGTTACCCTACCCATCGTCTCGCACCCACTCCTCCTGCATGGGCCAAAATCCCACGATATGAACCTGCTCCTCCAATACATTTAGGGAAACGAGCCAAGAGGGAGTTTACATCATTCGTTCAGGTCGCTCCTTTGATGATGTGGGGCACTGTAGGGTTGTCGTTGCTGGCTGGTTTGTATATTGGTAGTCGCATTGTGTAATAATGCCGCATAGATTTCAAGAGCAAAATAGAAGATCCTCATCATTATTTGGTTTGGTTTGTAGTCGCATCGTGTAAGCATGTATCCAAGGTATAGATAAAAGGAGCTGAATAAATATTCGAGAATCTCATGAAGATTTGGTGCCGTGTGAAGGCGGTGGCCTCAAGCGTGGTTGATTCGGACGCGAACCTTCCCACCGCAGTGTCAAACCTTTTCCGAGCACGGAGAGGGGCTTCGTAAACACATTCATGGCCACAGAATGGCGTTTTGTAGATTCCTCTCCTAGTCCCATCTGAAGAATCGTGGTTGTATTCGTTCACACGAAAATTGTGAGAACGTTTTCGCACAAAATCAGCAGGTTTACAACACCAAGAGCTACTGAACCAGCGCGACTTAAATTTAATAACGTGATCTTTACGGCTAAGATTCATCTAGTGGGCTGATCATGTACGCGACAATCAAGTTTGTAAAGGATGTAAAATGGCAAGTATCAACACCTTATCGATCAATTATTGAGCTACGGCCTCTTCAATAACTAATTTCAACCAGCAATTATCTGCACGAAAAAGATCTAGCCGATGGGCGTATAGGTTGAATTTTGAGCGGAGCCTGAATACTTAATGTAGCTCAAGCTCTGACTTTTTGACATTACTTGATCTTTGCAACAATGGGCCACTCAAGAAAGAGTTCAATGCTGGATTTGCTTGATCTGGACATATCTACTGGAAGCTCTGATGCTCCGAGAGTTCTCATTGCTAATCGGTCAGTACAAGCTCTTATTTTGGTCAAATTCGTTATCATTTAAGCTCGTTCTTGAATGAAACTACCAGTGATTCTCAATGTAAATCAACACATAAATTATATCGTCGAAACGTTTTATGGATACCGTCTTGCTCGTCGACTTTGGTCGCAATCATTCCATGAAGATTTTCACGCTTTTTGACACCTTGTGCATCAAGAGGAGATAACGACTGAGACAATATCAAATTTGATTTGATTTTCTGACGTGATTATTTATTACCTTAGTGGGGAGATAGCTATACGTGTGATACGTGGAGCTCGCGAACTAGGATGGAAGACAGTCGCTATATACAGCCATGAAGACCGATTGTCTATGCATAGATACAAGGCCGATGAGTCTTATCAGATTGGAGAAGTTGGCCAGTTCACGCCTGTTGGTGCATACTTGGCTATTGACGAGATACTCAAGTATGCACAAACTCACAACTTGACATGCACTCATATCAATTTTTGAAAGGGCTCTTTTTTTTGGAAAACTATTACTGCATGTGCTCATATCTTACCCTTCTTTGCTTTAGAATCGCAAAGGCTCGAAACGTCCAAGTGATACATCCAGGATATGGCTTCCTAGCGGAGAATGCTCTGTTTGCTCGTAAGGTTGAAGCCGCGGGCATTGCTTTCGCTGGACCACGACCAGAGGTTATTGATTCTTGTGGTGACAAGACGAAAGCACGAGATGTTGCTGTGCAGTGTGGTGTTCCTGTCGTGCCGGGTACAGAAGGTGCTGTTAGCACCGTTGAGGAAGGGCAGGCTTTTATTGCAAAGGCTGGGTGAGTGCAAAAGTCAAACAAGAAGCACTTTCCACGATGGGTCTGACCTTGTCTATATAGTCTACCTGTCATCATCAAAGCCTCGATGGGTGGTGGTGGTCGTGGTATGAGAGTAGTGAGGAATGCTGACGACTTCCCTCATCTATTCCGTACGTGCCAGTCTGAAGCTTTAAATGCCTTCGGTGATGGAACTTGCTTTATCGAACGACTTGTTGAAAAGCCGAGGCATATTGAAGGTATGACACTGCGCAAAAAAACCCACCAATGTACGATCCTATTGACGAATTATTCAAATATCATAGTGCAATTACTTGGTGACGCTGTTGGCAATATCATTCATCTCTTTGAGAGAGATTGTTCCGTCCAACGAAGGCATCAAAAGGTGGTTGAAATGGCTCCAGCATTAGGATTACCAGACGACGTTCGGAAATCTATATTAGAAGATGCCGTCAAAATCGCTACATTTGTCAACTATCGAAACGCTGGAACTGCTGAATTCTTAGTAGATAGCCAGAACCGTCATTACTTTATTGAAATCAATCCTCGTATTCAGGTACAAAAAGAGACATGCTGCGCCTCGTGCTCAACGAGTGACCTCTATAACCATATCTGATCCTTTAGGTGGAACATACAGTAACTGAAGAAATATGTGGCCTTGATTTGATTGGCTCTCAGTTGCAGATTGCAATGGGAGCGACTCTTCCACAGCTTGGATTGATTCAGTCGAGCATTACATGTCGTGGTTATGCCATTCAGGCTCGTGTCACCACTGAAGATCCATTGCGTAACTTTCAGCCCGATACTGGAAGGATTGAAGTTTATCGAAGTGCTGGAGGTCCAGGTAAATTATATTTCATTTGCTCCAAGTGGCCGAAAAAACCCAATGGCTAACAACTTATTCCAGGTGTGAGACTAGATGGAGGTCCTGGTTACTCTGGTAGGTCACTGTTTTCTCTCTTTATTAATCACGAATTCACTAATACGATTTTCGACACAGGTGCGATCATCACACCGCATTATGATTCTCTGTTGGTTAAAGTCACTTGTCACTCTGCTGATTTCGAGTCTGCGCGAAGGAAGATGTTGCGTGCGCTCCTAGAGTTCAGAGTCCGTGGGCTCAAAACCAACATAGCTTTCGTCCTAAAGCTGCTCACACATCCAATTTTTATTGAGGGTGGCAAGGTAAGAGCTATGTGGCTGTCCTGGCGTGCATGCTATTGCGACGTCAGTTTTTAACTTACTTTTTTATTTATTTCCTAAGATCTGGACTACATTCATTGACGACTACAAAGACGAGCTTCTCAAATCTGGTGAAGGTCGTGACCGTGGTCAACGTCTCCTCAGATACTTGGGCGAGACTGCGGTCAATGGATCCAAAAAGTACTTTGAAGGCCAAGACGGAACACCAGGCGTGAAAGGGACCATTCCTATACCAACATTGCCGGGCTTAACTGCCATCAACGCTGAGACACCATGCACGGAAGGATGGAAGGGTGTTCTTGACAATCAAGGTCCAGAAGCCTTTTGTCGAGCCATTCGAGCTCATTCTGGTGCATTGATTATGGATACTACTTGGAGAGATGCGCATCAGAGTTTGCTGGCAACACGGTAATTAGAATATGTTTTCGTTGACTGTTTTTGTTGAGTCGAACTCTGCGCTAATGCTAGTTTTGAATAGTGTTCGGACTACTGATTTGAACCATATTGCTCCATTGACCTCTCACGCTCTAAAGAAGGCGTTTGCTCTGGAGTGTTGGGGAGGTACGTTCTTGCGTCAAAAAACGTTAAACAATTGCCTTTGTGAGTCTCAACTACCATTCTGTGTAGGCGCCACATTCGATGTCGCTATGCGATTCTTATATGAGGATCCGTGGGGTACTTGTGTTGCTATCTTTTGAAATTTAGATTTCTTATCATCTTATGATACATCTTAGAGCGATTACAGTTATTGCGCAAATCCGTGCCCAATATTCCATTCTCCATGTTGTTGAGAGGAGCATCTGCAGTTGGGTAAGCACGAGCAAAAAATAAGAAAAATTACAATGCGCTATTCTCAAGTGTTTACTACAGATACACCAACTACCCTGACAATGTCGTCTACGAATTCTGTCGTCTCGCCAAGCAACAAGGTGTCGACATATTCAGAATCTTTGACTCTTTGAACTACTTCCCAAACTTGGAAGTTGGGATTGATGCAGTTAAGAAGGCAAATGGTGTAGCAGAAGGCGCTTTATCGTATACTGGAGATTGTGCCAATCCTCATAAAGTCAAGTACAATTTGGACTATTGGATGGATTTGGTTGAGAAACTTGTCAATGCTGGAATTCACATTTTGGGAATCAAGGATATGGCTGGTCTCTTGACACCTAAAGCTGCAACATTGTTGGTTGGAAGTATTCGGAAGAAGTATCAGGATTTGGTTATTCATGTGCATACTCATGATACGTAAGGCATCGACGTGGACTCGGTTTTTTGTGGCCAACATAAGACCAATCCAGTTACCTCTTTTTGCAGTGTCGGAACAGGGGTCGCGACATACATTGCTTGCATTGAAGCTGGTGCTGATATTGTGGATTGTGCTGTTGACAGCATGTCTGGAATGACATCTCAACCCAGCATGGGAGCCATCGTAGCTACATATCAGAACACACCACAAGATACCGGTATTAGCTTCGATGCTGTTCAAACCATGAACCAATACTGGGTACAAGTCCGAAGATTATATCAATGTTTCGATCCCAAGCTTTTATCGGGAGATTCTAGTGTCTTGGTTCATCAGATGCCAGGTAAAAAACCGCTGTTTAAAACATGAGGCATACACGCGTGCTTAGCATTGGACTAACTGGATGTTCTTCCTAATACCAGGTGGTCAATACACAAACCTGCTCTTCCAAGCCCAAAGCTTAGGATTGGGCAAAGAATGGGAGGAAATCAAAAAGGCTTATGTTACTGCCAACTTGCTTTGTGGTGACATAGTGAAAGTCACACCATCATCAAAGGTCGTTGGTGATTTTGCACAATTCCTCGTTCAAAACAAACTCTCTGAAGAAGATGTTATATCTCGATGTGAAGAATTGTCATTGCCAAAGAGTGTTGTAGAATACTATCAAGGTACTTACGTACGGATGAGAATGCACGTTTGTTTCTATATTAAAACTTTCTTACATTCAAACTCTTCAACAGGTGCATTGGGTCAACCTCCATATGGATACCCAGAACCTCTTCGAACTCGTATTCTGACGTCCAAACGACTAAAGCCAATCAATGAACGTCCGGGATTGTCAATTCCACCAATGGATTTGGAAGAGTTGAAGGTACCTAAAGCTTTTGCATAACAGTAAAGAAACAGTTTAGGTACTCGACTCATCATCATTATAAATTAGAGGAGCTTGGAAGATGAATGGGGTGAAGGCAAGATCTCAGAAACTGATGTGATTAGTGCTGCCTTGTATCCTCAGGTAGATTATGAACTCTCCGGTACTTTTTGGCGAGCCGATCCACCACATCTTCCGAAACTTAGGTCTTCAAAGAATTCCGCACCTTCCTGTCTACATTTGGACATCTTACCAATCTTCCAACATACCATCTTCTTACTCCGTTGGTTATTGGTGAAGGTAACTTGCGTGTACTGTAACTGTTTTGGGTAATGTGTGCTTGGAAGCCCTTCTTTGAAAGACGTCAATCCCTTCTCATAGAATTCTCATTCGAACTGGAAACTGGCAAGACACTTATTGTCAAATTATTAGCCATCGGTATGCTTAGTGAATTGGTTTCCCATTTTTTAGTTTGAGTGCCGCGTTGTTCTGTTAGAACTCTGATATACCAACATTTATCTCTAAAATATAGGCCCAGTCAATGACGCTACTGGAAAGCGTGACATTTACTTCTCAGTCAATGGTGAAGCTCGTATGGTGGCTGTATCAGGTATGAAAAGTGCTTTGTTGAACAAAGCAAGGTTGAGTGAAAACTCTGAAATTTTCAAACGCTGTAGATCACAAGGCCAATTCCGCTGCGTCACTGACACCTTCAAGGCCCAAGGCTGATACGAAAGACAAGATGCAGCTGGGAGCACCGATGGTGAGTATCAGATTTATCAGCTAGGATCTCCGTTTTGTTGCCTATGTTCTTACCATGTTTCGTACCCAAATTTCCAACAGGCTGGTGTCGTCGTTGACGTACGAGTCAAGGTTGGATCTGCTGTGAATGCTGGTGACATTGTCGTGGTCTTGAGTGCCATGAAACTGGAAACCAGTGTCGCTTCTGCTACAGCTGGTGTTGTATCTGAAGTTCTGGTCAAGACTGGTGATTCTCTCACCGCAAATGATTTGCTCATCAAGATTGAGCCTACAAAAGCATAAAATCTATACATTCTTGTTGTTTGCCTGTTTCTTTCGCAATATACAGTTTATTATCCCAGAACAGTTGGACGCTTTTGGTGTTGCTACCTGCGTTCTTGTGCAATATGTACCTTTTTGGGCGATTTCGACGTTTCTTAGCAAGACCGTAAAAGCCGGACCGAGGTAACCGAAGTGAATCCGAAGCATCTTCTCACTCATTTCTCGCGATGAACCCTCGCTGTGCACAAATAACAAAATGCCATGGTATGTTTTTCGTTTATATATGTTCTATAGAAAGGGGGTTATTTTTTGGTCGTCTTTAGAAGGGGGGTGATCTGCTGCAAAAACACATCTCTATATTTATTATTCGACGACATCATCCATCACAGTATCCTCGGTTGGTGTGGCAGGAGTTTCCGGAGCTGGTGTCTCTGCTGGAGTTGCAGGAGCTGCTGCGGGTTCTTCCTTCTTTGGAGCTGGTTTGGGTCTTGTCAATATTGGGTTGACTGTGTGGAATAATGCCTAGAGAAAAACGAAAACAGGTATCAGAATTGAAGAGAGCCAAAAAACGAAATGATATCGTAGCGACATACTGTCTTTTCTTGGTTGATTTTGTCGACAGTGACATGGACATCTTGATACCGTTCCATAGCGTTTTGCTTGGAAATGGCTTGATTCAACCAATCCAATTTTTTGTGTACTTCGGTACTGACTTTGTCCAAGTCAGCTGCTGGGATGTGAGCGAATCGACCATCCTGAATAATGGGAGAGTGAGTGAATGTTAGTGATTGGCTTGAACATGACGACGCGATAATCTGAAAGTTTTCCTGCGACGAGTGACAACAAAAAAAAGAGGAGCAAACAGAATTATTCTCACCTCAGCAGCAAGAGCAATCAACACCGAGTTGGCATACTCTCTAAACATCCTTTCGGCACGAGCACGTTCATCCCATTCACGATATCGGAAAGCGACAGGATCACCAAGCGATTTGAGATGCTTCAACTTGTCCGAATAAACACTCTTGGTACTATCTTCACCCTCACCATACAACCAATCTTCAGTAGCACTTAATTCCTTCAGTACGGACTGTCGATCAGCATCTGTAATATATTCACTCCAAGCCATTTCGAGTTTTGAACGAGTCTCATATACATATTCTTCCAATGCGTTTTTACGGTCTGCAGTATCTATGACTAGACGATCTGATGCGTCCATTTCTAATTCGGCGGCGTGCCATTTGGTGATTACTTCACGTGGATGAGCAGTGGTTTTGGCAACGATGGTCAAGTCGTGTTTACGGACTATGCGTTTGGTTTTGGGTGGTACGGGTTGTGCTGATTCGGCCAAGCTTTCTGTAGAGTCGGCTGGCACATCATCTGTATCCATGGCTGAAGATCCATTCTCTTTTGTTTCCGGCTTCTTGGCATCCTTTGCAGCTGGTTCATCGTCCTTGATGGCGACTAGTGCTTCTTCGATTTGTTGAGCAGCTTCCATGCTAGGTTGAAAGTGTGAGATATTAGTTCGAAAACACCGGTCCAGTCAAACCCCCCCCCCCCCTAAATAGTTGGCGGTAATAGCAGGTTGCGGGTAACCCTCTCTAACCACCGATGCTTACCTAACAATGGCATTACCATCCAACTTGGCCTTAACTCGAATGGTAGCTTGAGCCTTCTCAGCAGCTCCACTAGCAATATCCCCAACTTGAGGGACCGGCTTCTTAATGCCTTGAATAGTCCATTTACCAATAGCAGTACCAACACCAGAAGGAATATCTCGACCAGGAGTATCTGGATCTATATAATGAGCATCTAATTCAAAAGTCACAGATCCACCCTTGGCAGCCAATTCCTCATCGTTGAGAGAACGGTAGAAGGTCAAGACTTTGGTACTGGGTATAGCGTTTGCTACAGGGAAGACTTCCATTTTTGTTTCCTTTTCACCAGATTTGGGCGTGGGGATGACGGATGGGTCCCACGACAATTGTACAGGGTATGAGTTCCAGTCTTGGACTGAAAAGTCTCGAACTTTGAATACTGGGGAGATGACGGCACATTGTAGAGCACAACCACGAGCGACTGCTTCGTCTTGGTTGAGGGTAGTAGACAATTTCGATTCTAAGGGAAATTGGAAATGTCATTAAGGCCGAACTCATGCAAAAGGAAAGTCGGAGCTAAAGACATAATGCCAACATGCTGCGGCTTTCTCTTGACCATCCTTCGCCGTCTTTTCAAAATCTCTCGAAGGTTGCTTACCATCAAACATGTTTGCTAAAAATTGCTTGAGAGATGGGACACGAGTACCACCACCGACCAATTCTACAAAGTCTACTTCAGCAGGAGTGACACCAGCAGATTCCAAAGCTTCCTTGATAGGAGCTTCGAATCGTTGAATGAGTGATGCGGCCATAGTTTCAAAGTCAGCTCTGGTTGTAATTTGATGAGTATGTGTGTGAGTGGAGTAAAAATAGACACAAATCTTCTCCATATCCGTCAGATGACTCAATCACGCTCACCTGTTGACAACAGATTGTACATCCTTGTCATCCATAATACATTCTACGGCTAGTTGCGTCATAGAATTGGCACTCAACACCTATATCGCAACATGAATTTCAGTTAAAGAGCGTCACTGAGTTATAAAACGGTACCAATTGAGAGTTGTTCATACCTTTTTGACCTTCTCACAAGCAGCACGTAACCTGTATCTAGCCTTGGCATTACTTCCAATATCAATCTTGTATTTGCCCTTGAATTCCTCAATAAAGTGTTCAACCAACACTTCATCAAAGTTGCGACCACCCAAGTTCCTGTCATATGCAGCAGCCTTGACAATGAGTTTTCCCTTGACAAAGGACACGACAGAGACTTGATATGATGATTCACCAACATCTACGAATACGACGATACGTGGTTTGGCTGTTGGAGTTGCAACGATATCTGGGAGGTCTGTCTTTGTGATTCCGTATCCGAGAGCAGCTAAAGAATCAATGGAGTCAGATGAAGCACGCATGTAGACACGTCGTCCCAAAAATACATACCAGCGGTAGTATCATTCATGATTCTCAATGGATTCAGACCAGCTACTTCAGCAGCTTCATGCAATGCACGTCTTTGACGATCGGTAAACCATCCAGGACATGAGATGACGACATCGGTGACTGGAGCCTTGAGTTCTTTACCAGTATATTCTTTGACTTTGGTGAAGAACATCCCAGCGATCTGAGTTGCGGCAAACTCTTGTCTTTCGTTTTGATACATGACCTATGTTTGCAAATAGTGAGTAAAACAGTTGCATTGATAAGCATTGGACAATCCTCTGTTGAGGTTTTTTTGACCACTTACACCAGCCGCGACTTCACCAGATTCAGCTTCAACCAAGTCAGAGTTGATGAATTTCTTTTCAAACTTCGTGATCTCTGGATCTTTAAATGTTCTTCCAATCAATCGTTTTAGGCATCCTACAGTGTTTTTGAAGTTTCCGATTTCCTAAAACAAAGTTGTTCGTTATTCATATGGATAAAGCAGTGACCCCTTGGAATCAAAAATTTACCTGTGTCTTTGCAGATTCACCGAGATATCGTTGCTTTTCACCGAAAGATACCAAAGACCTGTTTGAGATGATGAGTGTGTTGTCAGTCAGTGTCTTAACACACATCCAATCACATCCATGATCAGATATGATGAAAAATACAAGGATATTCATCAAATATCAAGATAAATCAATAAAAATAGCATCAAAAGTGCAACTTACGGAGTGGCACGATTTGAAACTTCATTGACAATGACATCGATACCCCTGTTTCTAGCAACAGCAACAACGGTATTCTGGTTTCCGAAATCAATTCCAACTACAGACATTGCTTTATCTCTTGCAGTACGGGAAGAATGATCGAGAAGTGGGCTTGAAGTGGAAGAGGATTCTCGTTTGTTTCTGATTCGACGACGTTTATAGGAAGGGCCGAGGAGATAGTAGGCAGTAGCAGTGAGGATTGCGATTGCAGTACCGGCTACAGCAACGTATGGAAGATTGGATGAAGAGGATGTGTCTTGGTCGACTGCTACGGATGAAGATTCGAAAGTGTTGGCAACCCAACTTGTCAAGTAATCTTTATAGGGCTGAATGATTGCTTAATCAGTCAGTTTGATATGGATTTGGGTGTCCCGATTTTCTAAACTAATTATAAAGGCTCTTTCCGTCTCTCACCTCGCGAATGGCAATTTTTGCAGAAATGCAGAAAAAAACCTTGAGAGGCGAGATTCTGATGAGCGCGGTTGAGTAGCCTGGAAAGGAGCTGCCGCGCGTCTAGCCGAGTTCTATAGTAGCTTATTGATGATGCAGCGGACTTTGACAACTTTTCTTGCTGCTTCCTGAAAGCTTCCTTAACGTTCGATCAAGTTCGATGTCAACCGGGTCGCCAATGATAGGCTGTAAATTGCGATTGATCTCATAGATCTGAATGTATTCCAATCTGTGAAGCAACTGCTTCTTTCTCAATATTGATGATACGACAATCTTGAAATCCAAGCGCCAAAAGTTGATGTTGTCACTTACTGCCGTTAACAATAGTTCGCTCCTCGTTCCAGTATGTAAAGATCAGAAATCAAAACACTCTTTACCTGTCTTCAAGTTCGACGAATAGGGGGTTTGACTTGGTCATGACAGTGCGTGCAATCGCCGAGTATACGTACGTATTCGAGGAAGCATGCCATCTGATACTAATCATAAGGAATGAAATGTCCTTTTCACGGTCTCATGTCACGGTGCTCGTGATATTTCGACGTGTTCCATAATGAAATCGTTTTGCTGTCATCGATATAGAGTTTCCACATACGCGTTTGGTAATAGCGTAAACAAGGAGTCTCTTTGAGACCGTGTCAATTAAGGATCTCCATTCAATTTTGTATACGATGCGTCGTATATCTCAACATAGAGCGACCGCTATAGACCCTTCCTCTAAACCCCCCCTTTCCACCACAAATTCACCACACCATGAGAATTTGTCATGTCCCGTATTGCACGGATAGTGTCATGGAATGTGAAGTAGCAACCATGTAAATCTCAGAGACTCAAGTTAACTTGAAACCCACGTAAACCAAACCGTAAAGCACGTAATTCTAACCCAATAAACATAGTTGTGGTTACTTACGACTGTTATTACTATATTTTTTCTTCACTCCTGATTAACCATCCTGACCACTACAAACTACTCCAATTATATGAGATGGGATCCTTACATGGGCCGAGCAGACAAGGGTCAGCAGTAGCCGCCAAGTAGCTGTCCTTTGCCATTTGGTGGTCCTACGAATTTTATAAACCCACCAGATGTATAACTGGCGTAACAAGTATTATCACATGCAAAATACTGTGTGGCTGGATCATAACGGAATCCAACTGCCCCACCATAAGCACAATCTACACGGTCTAAAAGACTGGAAACAACGACTTGGACAGTCTCCGGAATGGGACAAATATATCCTATTGGACAACCAACATAAACAGCACATCCGCGGCAGGTGGCGGTGTAAGTTCCGTCCGAGTTTGTTGAATACGTTACATTATTTGGAGTACAGCAGTCTGAATATCCTGATGATGGAGAAACTTGTGGTGCTGCCACTATTGCTACGGGAGATGCTACAGAGACTGGGGCTCCGACGACTGGAGCCGCACTCGGCACCCGTACCGGCGATGCTTGAGCGGCAACACCCGAGGCAACAGGATTGGGTGGTAAACTACTAGCTATTACGCCACTTACAGAAGGACTTGTAGTATTTGAACTACCGACGTTAGTTTGATATTCCACGCTAGACTTGCTGGGTGCCTCCTGCTTCCACGCCAGGACAACGCCGATTGCAACGACAAGAAGAATTACCAGCGTTAACACGGCCCGCCCCAGCCACTGTTCTATTCAATTTAGAGATGGATAATGTGTCACCAACACTGTCGCAAGACAAAGCAATACACCATGTACAAAACTTACTCTGAGTTCTAAGAACAGTCTTGATCATATCGTCATTTGGCAGTTCCTTGTACAGCTTTGCTTTTTCAGAAGTGCCAGGGGCTGCTATGGACTGCACCCATGGGTGGTTTTGGTAACCGTTCTGGTTTACTGCCAGAGCGATGTTGTTACTGGCCTCCATAACTCATACGTGTTTATAAAGATTAGGATTGACTTCGTCTGAAGACATTGTGTACGGTTCCTGGAGCTGTCTCGCTGCCTGAGACGTCCTTGGTTGCCAGCTTTTTCCCGGGGCGTTGATTTCAGTAGTGCTAGGGATGGTTTGGAAGCTGTTTGCTGGCTCTGGCTCTAGGGATTTCGTTGGTAATGGGGACACCATTCTGGCTGGTGGGCTGGATTCCATGTTTGACAAATTCTTAGGAATACTAGGCTCGTCATAAGGTCTCCTTGCTGCCCTTAGAGGCATGCCATGAGGTGTATCGGTGGGTGCATCCTAGGAGTGGGTCGGCTGGTTTCCATGTCTGGTAGGTTTTTATAACTATTAGGATGTACCTCCTCTTTATAACTGCTTGATGCCTTCGGAGACATTCCAGAAGGTAGGCGGTACTGCATCATTCGATTGGATGGTTGGGATGGATTGAAATCTATGGCTGGCATGTTTTGGTAAACATTGGCGTATTCCGTTTCTGAAGGTGGTTGCGGCTGAGACTGCATCATTGATGTTTGATAATCCTGGTATGTTATGGGCCGACTATCTGCTGTAGATTCGCCAAAGTCCATAGCTGCTCGTTTGGCTGGTTGGGCTGTTGCGAAGCTGGTGGTGCTCCATTGGGGTTACACACAAACAGACCAACAAGCCAACGGGCGGAACGAAATCTAATCCTGCACCGCTTTCGTACTATCAGCGACCAACCATGTGTTATGACATTCCTCTTACAATGTCTCTTGTAAATATTATTATTTAGACTACTATAGACTGCAGACGAACTAATTTCTTAAGATTGCAATCAAAACTTGCCAAGTGCAAATCAAGCATCACCAAGGTTCAAGTCGTGAGCTTTTATATTCATAATCATCTCATTGGTCAAGGCCCTACGTCTGAAATGCGTGATCAAAACAAAACATTCCTAGATGGGTCACAGAGAACATTCTTATTGTAACGTAGACTTACATTCTTCAGAGGGCCGTTTGGATCTCCAATTTTCAGAGCGGCTCCACTGCCATCTGTTCCAAAGTAAAGGGTGTATTTTTTATCGTGTTCCTTCTGCCATAGCTTCTCAGAACCTATTAAAGTTGCCTGGTCTTTCTCAATAGCCCCCATGCTCCACATAACCCGAAGCGTATCCTGTAGATATTGACCTTTGCCGACTCGGCCGGGGTTGTCAATAGCATAGTAGAATGCTAAAAGACAAAACAAGACTTTAATGAGATTAAGAGTCACCAGTGCATACATGAGCCAAGAGCGCCCTCCAATGCCAGGAGTGTCGGCCCATGGCGCCGGCGAAGTCGATAAGCTGTTATAATCTATTGCGTCTGGTAGTCTAGATAAAATGTTGGCTGTTGCCTGCCACAAGGCGACTGACAGTGTGGGCGCATTGTCTTTTGTCAGCCAAAATCCGTAAGCAGTCTGGTTTAACTGCTGTACTGAAATAATGTTGCTATTCACTAGGTAACCCGTAGCATTGGCTAGCTGTTGCAAACCTAGATATAGTAATTTTGCTGATGCGAGATCTGCAATGTTCGTACTAGTGCACGACGGGTTAACCACCAACTTTTTGTTGGTTGTCGTAGAATATCGTGGACAATTCTCCGTCACAAATGCGGTGATACTAGCCATACTGATAACATGAGAGCAAGCGAAGTAGTAAACTGATTTTCGAGCGGTGTGATATATGGTGCTGGTAGCATTATCCAGATAGAGGGAAGTGGCGTACGAAGAAGTTCCAAACTGCACGATTTCGTTATAGTAAGGCGGCACGGTACTAGTTCCGTTGAAACAGGTCGTTCGAGCAATCACCCCATTCAGTTGAATCTGATCGCCATCAGTAATATTGGTTGTGCTGATAAAGGTATCGGTAGGGAAAGTCGTCTTACCAGCAGTCACGTCAGACACCTATGCACATTCATTAAGGGTGAACGGACAAACCGGAGAAACGATGATAATACGCTTACTAGAATGTTACCCGAAGCCAATCCATTCTGAGCGCTCAACGCCAACGATAGGGTGGACACATTAAACCCATTTACAGTGCTAAAAGCAGTTCCTGGAGCTAGGCTATAGTAGTTTGTGCCGGGCGACCATGTTGCAGATTTGATGTTGTTGAGAATGAAACTCTCTAGGGTTGGTATTCCGCCAACAAGGAAGGCAGCTACAATGATGATCAATTCGTGTCGTGTTTTCAGCTTGATTGAGAAAAGCACGGTCCGAAGGTCCAAATACGATTTTTTGAGAAGTGCATTGTATACTTCCAGTGTGAGAGATTTTGATTCTTCACACGAGCCAAGAGCCATGGTAATCCCATAACCAAATGCCAACGACTGAATTATGTTTTGATTTAATGGGTTGTAGTATGGCATAATGTAGTTGTAGATGAAACCTCCATCAGGACAGCGAAGGCCATCACCACAAGCGTCCAGCTGGGTAGTGCAAGAAGGCCTGAATGAGTGTCAAGAAGTGAGAGTCAGTGGAGATCAGGAGAGTGAGACGCTTAAGGCGCAAGCTGGCCAACCTGAAAATCAAGGAGTAGGATAAAAAGAGGCCAGAGAGGGATGCAGCGAGAAGGACCATCAACCATATCCATGTCCATCTAAGCGACTCTGGTGCGAGAAGTCGGCCCAGTGTGAGGGGTTTTGTTGGAGTGGGCTGTTACCAAATGAAGTCAGTGATGCGAAACAAAGGAAAAACGCTTTCAGCAGCTAACAACGAGGAACTTACATGATGCACCGTTTGTTCCTCAAACTGAAAGGTTGCGCTTCTTGTGTGTTTTCTCCTCTGAATGTTGCTGCTGGTGGCAATTGGACGTTACCACCTGGTACACGCTGCTGTGGGACGCTCGTGCTTCTTGGAGGCACCGGAGGGCTAAACGCAGACATCCTGCATCAGCTTCTGCGGTGCAAGGACGCTGATATTGTTCTTGGCTGGTGGGCTGGTAAGCTTGGGCTGGTAAGTAATAAAGAACAAGTTGCTGAGCAATCGGAGGAATATATGAACAAAGCACTCTATTTGGATCAGGCACAAAAATTTGGAGCATTGGTACAAGTCCTAGCCGAGGTGAGTGATCGAACTCTCCCTGCTAGATAGGAGTCTACTTATGATCCTCACAGTGTAGTTGATCTAGTCTGACAAAACGGTTTGCACAAAACCAAATTGTCCACCACCGTGTCAGAATGTCGCAAGTCACATTATCTACACGTTACAAGGATTCCTCACATTGACTCACTGTGTAGGTTGTTGTGGGTGAACGCATCCCCCGTTATTTGTCACACTCTTTCGCTGCCTCTTACGTTATACCTTTTCTAGACAATTTCTACCATCAAGAGCCTTTAAGACACTAATCAACTACTACGAAAGATGCCTCCAAGTGCAGAAGACGTGCAGCCCGATGTCTCGCAATTGCCCGCATGGGAGTACTATCCCACTCCTCGTCGAACTGGAATGAGAATTGTAGGTTTTACCGTCATTCCAGCACTCTACAAGTTGGTAGAAGTGGGAGTCTAGCTCCTGTTGCAGGCAATCAGCCACTGATCCATTTTCTCGCCTTGCTTCCGACATCACCAATTTCCAAATGCCCGACATCGGATCCAATTCTGACTCTTTCTACGATCTTCTTAGGTCTGTATTGGAGCAGGTTGTGCCGGTGTATACATGGCATACCGTGTTCCAAGAGCTCTAAAGGATGTCTCGCTCGTGATCTATGACAAGAACGTGAGTCTTTTTGTCCAGACGTATCTCGCAACTTTGACCAGTTCGAGGTCGTTTCGTTCTTGTCAATTCAGCGTTGTGTGTATTCCCTTTGGAATCATAATGACTTACCCTGCATGTTTGCTCTTTAGCCAAGTCTAGGAGGAACCTGGTTGGAGAACAGGGTAAGACTCTACTGTCAGACCACTTTATTCGTATTTGTATTCTAAGTGTCTTTGAAATTAGTATCCCGGATGTGCTTGTGATATTGCTGGTAGGTTTCTACACGTTACAATTCCTTGCCTTTGTGTTTCTTTTTGGCTGACTCTCTTTTTGCAACACAGCACACCACTACAGTTGGTCTTTCGAACTCAACCCTAACTGGACTTCCTCATACGCTGGTGCCGAAGAGATATGGTACGTTGCCATACCAGTCCTACCATCACTACATGTCATCACCAAAAACACCCTTGCTCACTCATTTTCATTGCATCTAGGCGTTACCAAGACGCAGTCGCCGACAAATACGACTGTAAAAAGTACATGAAATTCAACACCCGTATCACCGACGCATCCTTTGATGAAAAAGCCGGTGTCTGGAAATTGACTGGAACTGGCGCAAACGGTGAAGCTATTACAGATGAATGTGAAGTCCTTGTTTCTGGAATGGGAGCATTGAACTCTTGGAAGTGGCCTGATATCAAAGGTCTTGAAGATTTCAAGGGAAAGAAGATGCATACTGCTGCTTGTAAGCATCAGGCGGTATTGGACGGCCTTTTTTTTGGTATCTGACTTATTGGATTTCTCTTTCAGGGGACCAAAAGTATGATTTGACTGGCAAGACTGTTGCCTGTATTGGGTACGTGAATATTCCTAACGGAATTTGGGTTCTTCTTGTCCATTCTTCTTTTTCTCCCTCTCCCAAAACGAACTCAAACTAACCTCCTCTGTATCAATAGAACTGGAGCCAGTGCCATCCAAACCATACCCAAAGTCCAAAAAGTTGCTGCTCATTTGGTATGTTTTGACCAAATTAGAGCTCGTTTAGTCGCTTTTTTCTCGCTTCTCCTCTGATGCAAAAACGTACATTCACCAAATCAGGACGTCTACCAACGCTCCCCCGTGTGGGTCCCCTCCATGCTGGCCGGCGACACCGTCACCTACACCGAAGCCCAAAAGCAACGCTGGCGCGACCACCCCGAAGAACTGAAAGCCTTCTACGACGCCTTCTGCGACGGCTCCGAAGACGGCTTCAAGCTCTTCATGGCCAACTCACCCGGAAACAAGGAGTGGCTCGCTACCGTCCTCAAGAGATACGAAACCTTAATCCCCGACCCGGCATTCCGTAAAAAAGTTACTCCAGACTACGACATTGGATGTCGCCGAATCACGCCTCACGAGACGTATCTGCAGGCAATCCAAGAAAAGAATGTGGATTTGATTGTGGAGAAGATTGATCATATTGTTGCGAATGGGGTTGTTACTAAGGATGGTGTTTTGCATCCCGTTGATGTGCTGATTACGGCTACTGGGTTTGATACTAGTTTCATCCCGAGGGTTGAGATAACTGGGTTGGGTGGTTTGACCTTAAAGAAGGCTTGGGTAAGTGGAGTGTCGTTGTGTTGTGGAGGAGTTGGAGGAGAGGGCAACCTTTGCTGAATTCATGAATTCGTGTCTTTTTTTCGTCGTGACTGAAATGTATGTATGGTATCTTCTAATCATTCCTTTACAACACATAGAGCGATATCTCTGAAGGATACCTCGGAACAGCCGTAGCTCAATTCCCTAACTACTTTGTAAGTGTCTTTCTCGTGCATTGCACGCTTTTGGGGTTCAAAAATATCCGTAACACATTCCCCTTCCTCCCCTCCACCCAGATGTTCCTCGGTCCCCAAACTCCAATCGGACAAGCCTCCCTACTGCCATACATGGAAGCCCAAGGAGACGTAAGTCACCAAAAACACGTATTGACCCCGTAACATGAGCATTGACTCCATTCCCTTCTCTACGCCAGTACATTATGAAATGCATTGAAAAAATGCAAGTAGACAGCATCAAGTACATGTCTCCCAACGTGCAAGTGCAACGCGAATTCAATGATTGGAGTCAAGCATACTTGAAGAAAACCGTTTGGGCATCATCGTGCAGTTCTTGGTACAAAGATGCTAAGGGCAGGAATATGGCTATTTGGCCTGGTAGTGCCAAGCACTTTATAAATTTCTTGAAGACACCTAGAATGGAGGTATGAGGGTGACACTGCGGTTGTTGTTTGTTAGCAATGTCCAGGTTGTGGTGGCGTGCATGATGCTAAAAAGACTCTTATCCTTGCACTGTAGGACTATGATCTCGTTTACACCAAGGCCAACCGATTCGAAAACTTGTTGGCAAGCGGATTAACCCGATAAGCCTACTGAAACGAGAACTCTTCTGTAAAGCCACTTTAGAACGTATAGTATCTCGAACTTTCTTTTAGAATCCAAGACATGTCTGCCACCGGTCTCCAACTCCCATTTTTAAAAAGCAATCTAGTACTAAAGTCTCCTGTCTTGAACCTTCAATAAAACAAAAGTTAGAATTGAAATCCAATATCCATATTTGCTGTCAAAGCGATTTTTTTGCTTAAAATGTCTTTGTTCTGTTTCAGTTGCTTCGAATTTCAATTTATAATACAAAGTTGGTGGTTAATAACATTGGGCAAGCTTCTCTTTCCTCCTTCCATTTCTTTTCCTTAGTGGGGTTATATATGCGACTTTTTTGAAACAAACAAAATAAGAAAAAAGATATATGCCACCTAATCTAATCATCTTCCCTAGTGTCCCCTTGCACTCCTCCAGATGTGATGGCTTCCTTGATCATTCCAACAATCTATTGTTCACGTTGGTCAGCATTCCCTTGTTGAATGCAAAAACGACGGCTTCGACGACAATAATAGCACATACCAAAGTTGCCCAAAAGATATGCAAAGCCTCTAGAAGACAGAGTCCAGCAATGAAGGCGCCTAGTACAGGTCCATTCGGAAGGGGAAATCCATCCTCACTATAGCAATATTGTCTGAGAATTGCAAGAAAAGGGAGTCAGTACCTTTCACATATCACACTCATAGCCACTTCTCGACTGTAACTCACGTTATGGGATATATGATGTAACGTGGAAAAATCCAGTTTCGAGTATAGATAAAGCAAGCAGCAAATGTTGCGAAAAAGACATTGGCCATCTATTAATGTTACGATGCGGTCAGTTTCATGTCGTCCACTACACGTCGACTCAACAACAAACTCACCAGCTCATTATTTGTGTAATGGAAACACTTTGCTAATTCCATCCATGGGTCCGACACGTCATGAACCAAGACAATGACAGAACCCACTCGATAGAAACCCATCCAATATGAAAAGAAGATCAAATTACATGTGATGATGTGGTGGCAAAACATTTGCCAAAAGTCCTTGAGACGTGGTTCAAAGAAGATTGCTATGGCTTGAGCCGCATAGTTTCCAAATGATACAACATAGTAAACCTTCATCATATCACTATTTGAAGAACGCGGGTGAGTGTCTTTAGGGCTTTTTTTGTTACGAATCAATCCATTTCCAACGACATATACCTCATTGGCGCCATCTTATCTTGCCAACCGACAAAGTATTGTGAAGGGTCTAAAGCCCAAGACTCTTGTGACAAGACAATGAGTCCAAGGGTTGATACAAAGGTACTATACCAGAGTTTCCAAGCGGCAACCTGGAATTTTTTACGATCGTCTACAATAGCTTTGGCTTGATTTCTTCTAGCCATTGCTGGTGGAGTACTCGGGGCAGTTAATGGAGCAGTGTTGTTGTTATGAAGCCCATTTGTCATAAGCTTGCTCTCCTTCTTATCACGATTGCTGTTGTCTTTACGATCATCGTCGTCATCATCGCCATTGGCATCATTGGATGCTTTTGATGGTGACGTAGCTGGTTTACGATGTCTTAAGGGAGTGTGCCTCTTTACTTCATAGTCGACAATGTTGAGTGGGTCGGGTAGAGCAGCGGCTACTAGATGACCTAAATCCTGTTGATGATGATTGTGGTTGTGGTGATGGTGTCCGTTCTGACGAGGGGGAGTCTTGTTTCCATCGTTATTGTTTATGATTGAGTCGTATGGCGGTGGAGTGGGCAACTCTAGTTCCGAGTCAGGTAGTTTTGCGAACGAGCTATTGTTTAATTCTTCTAGGTCGATAGCCGAGTCAAAGTCCCGGATTGGAGGGGAAGGAGGGGCCGATGGGACAAAGTAGTGCGATATTGGCTGTAAGGTTGAGAAGAGAGAGGGTATATGAAATGAGAGCGTTAGATTCGGTGAGATAGATTGCAAATTTCAAATGATCTGAGGACATAGAATCAATATTGCAAATAATCAGGTTGTTCATGGTAGCAGCCCAACAAGTAACCAGAGCATGCATCAAAATTCCCAACAAATTGACAAACTTCGCATTAAACCAGCAATGCGAGAGATAAAGGGTACAGATAAAGAAGGAACAGTTATACCTTCAATACGAGCCTAGATATCGCCTGTTGCGAGACCAGGAATGCGCCCGTAGATGCTGCTAGATATAGAAAGTCCAAGTCCTCGACATAATATGCTCTCCACAAAAACCCCCCAGCTTGAACCATGGTTTGAGCAAGAAGATACGCTTCAGCAACAAGGCAACGTGGTTTGGCTCGTCTTGTCTCTGTTTTTTAGGATGCTCCACCCGTTTTTTATGAGCGGTGTTTTGACGAGGGAGATGAGACAAAACAAGCCAAACCAACTCGAAAGCAACTATGCAGAACGCATTGTACGAGCACAGAACTGATTAAGAACTATTAAACACCTGCAATGAGCGCGTTTACACGTTCTTTTCTCGTGATGGGGACATGATCTCGCCTTGATAACATTAAAGCTGCATCCTTGGCAAACCATGTATCCAGATCTATTTGGAACGGAATTGATATGTGTCATAACACGAGATAATGCTCTTCTGGTCTGTGAAACGGCTTCAAAACTGTCATCGCACAGTGTGTCTGGCTTTTTCTTGGCGTCCAAAGCAAAGAAAAAGCACATTCGACCAGTTCCTCCGTGCAGATCAACGTGTTTTATGATTAAACCAACACGTAACCGATCTCTTTACAGTTGCAGTTCAGTCAAATTCATATGGAAGCTACAACTTGCTGGTCCTTTGGCGATATTTTGTCGTTGGCAGACAGCATAATGACAAACCAAGCGAAAGGTGGACTAGTGGCCTACCTTTGCCATAGAAAGTCTCTTAGGATTATCCTTGTCGTCATAATAGGGGCTTGTTTGTTGGCAGTGACGCTCTACTCTTCGGAATTATCAACAGACATTCTACATCGAACGAGCCCGGTGCAGGAGACCCAAATAGAGAAAAACAGTCCTGCAAAGGGTCATTCGCATCTAGATCATGACGAGCTAGATGCTTATACTGGTAATCTGGTGTAGTTGCCCCCTCATCATCAACCCGAGGCTAAAAACCACTATACCATCTATAGCTACTAGAGAGACCACAACACCGTCTTGGACTGCTCATCTGGAAGCTAGGCAGAGTACAACTCTGAAGCAGGCCACTCAGAAGTATAGGTAAACTTGGCGAGGGGTTGCAACTTTGTCCACACTTTCTACGCCGCTGCAGAGCGCCTTGACTCGACTGACTCGACTCATACATTCTTTTATTCCAGACTCAAATACGATCGGGATCCGCCGCCACATTTCGATAGATTCGTAAAGTTTGCACTTGACCACAAATGCCTTATCGACGAGTACGATCTAATACAACGAGATCTGGCTCCCTTTAGAAAGATGGACCCAGAAGTCTTGAAACGAAGAATAAAAGCTCTTCTTACTAGTGATGCCATGACGAGTTATAGTATACGGAACGGGCAGGCCCAGAAGGTGCAGGAAACCTATCTCAATGGCGCCTGGGATAACTTTATCAATAGTGTACGTTGCTGTGGGTGAATTCACTCTTCCCCTATCCTCGTTAGAAGATCCTCGTTAACCTTCGAATTCGTTGTTTGACAAAACTTGACTGACACGTCATGCCTCTTGATGTTTATCTTGATTCTTTTGGTGCCTCACCATCAGTCAAATTGACTACTGACACGCCATCTCAATCATCTAGCTGGCACCACTTCTACCAGATATGGACGTAATAGCCAATGCTTTGGACGAGCCCCGTGTACTACTCAACGTCTATGATCCATCAGCACTCTCTCACGCAAACAGTACAGATCCCGACCCAATATTCCACCATCTAGAACGCTCTCAACACCACGACCATGTACATTCTTCTTGTACGGTCCAAACCATGGAAGCACTACCAACCGAGCACGACGATGATTATAATGCTATCCATGGACTACTAGTAGCTCCCGACTCATTCTCATATACACACGATCTATATCCAGTATTATCACCAACGAAGATTCATCCATGCTTCGCTGATATCGTAGTACCACCTGTGTATTATTCGACTGTATCGCCATCTCTCACGGACGACGTGAAATGGGAAGACAAGGAAGCCAAACTCTTTTGGAGAGGATCAACATCTGGTGGACACGCAGTCAATGGCAACTGGAGACAGTTTCATAGACAGCGATTCATGCTCCTAGCCAAAAACCGTACAGATGTAGACGTGGCATTCACAAACATTATCCAATGTGATGAAGCCGATTGTGAAGCCCAAAAGCTTGAATTCCCGACAGTCCCACAGGAGCCATGGGAAGAACATATAAAACATAAATGGCTATTCGATACAGATGGTAATTCCTTCTCGGGACGATTCACTAGACTGCTACGATCTAAATCACTGGTATTCAAGTCGACTATTATGATTGAATACTTCTCGGACTGGGTGCTGCCTTATGTGCATTATATCCCTGTGTCGCTGAGTTATGATGATCTGGATGCTAAACTTAGATGGGCGGCGGAGAATGATGAGCTGGCGAAACAGATTGCCGAAGAGGGTAGTCGTATGTCAAGTAGATATCTTAGACCACAGGACATGGAGTGTTATACATTGTTGCTTCTTATAGAGCTCGCTGCACTTCAAAACTTGTAAATAATACACCATTGTATACCGAATAATGTAGTCAGTTAGAAGTAAAGTAAGAAATATAATTTAAACATTGTGATGAGCAAAAGATGTGTATTATGGTGGTTCAGGGAACACAAATCTCTATGCATGCAATCCAATTCCGTAATATATGAGGGAATGATCAGCTAATCTATAAAATTTACCAAGACTTGTTTTCAGTTGTGTTCTTTGACATTACTCCACGCCATAGTTCCTTAAAGACTTTCCCTAAAAGTGACTGGATGTTAAAATTGAGGTACAAGGTAAAAACCCACGACTATTACCAACACACATAAATATCGTACCTTCAATGATAGTCTTTTGCAAGATGGGTCGCACATGACACGTCTTGACACGACCATACCATTCTCCCCGTGTCTGTTCACCATACAGAATCAGATTACCAGCAAACTTGTGTCCACCAGTATGCGATATCCCACACACATGAATATTATATTCCAGTCCCTTCATTTCTTCAATCGCCTTTTGAAACTCCTCAATCAGCATCGGCCCAGCAACACCACACCTCTTATCCCGCTTCTTATGCGTACACACAAACACAACCACATCCTTCTGTCCCAGCTTCTCCACAACGACACCCGACGGTATCTTATCATTCACCAAATCCTGAATGACAGCACCAATCTCTGCGAGTTTCAAACCACGTAAAATGACATTATAAGGGAATACGAGGATATCGACACCCTTCCCTTGAGCCTGTGCATCACTAATATGTAGACCTGTGGTTGATATGTCGATGGCAGAGACCAAGATGCGGAATTTGGTGACTTTTTGAGCGAGTTCCATGACTTTGGATGTGATTGTGGTTGGATCTTCTTCTATGCGTTCGGGCCATTGGCTGCTGCTTCCTTCTATTATACAGAGATGCAGCGAGTAGGGTTTCATTGATCCGAGGAGAGGTTCGTCGTAATCGATTCTGGTGAGAATGTGAAATGTTAAGAGTTGATGTGATGTTGTAATTTCAACAGGCGAATGAAGGAAAGCTTCACGTACTTGGAAGCCAGTGTAGCAGGAAGTTGAGGATGAGCACATCCCTTCTCACATGCAGAGCATGGATCTTCATCTATAAACGTCTCTGTTGTTGGGAATTCAGCTTTCGGCCTACTTATCAATTCCTTTATCTTTAAAGCTGCCATCACGAGTAGGGTAGTCATCGCTCCTATGCTGACGTTGATTTCGGGTATAGCCAAATGTCTTGGCAAACTCAGCAACTCATTCGCCCTTGAAATTTGAAATCACGACGTTGCAATCGGTTCGCCAAGAGACCGGGGTGAACATTGTTCACGTTGAAAGTCGCGGTTTTACATTCAATGATTCCATAAATGATCGTTGTTTTGATTCTCAACGGGCGCGTTTCGTGAAAAGCGCAACTGACATTGATGCATATAATGATTGCTCTAGCCGTAATCGCTGTCTCTTTCTCCCGACGTGTTGGGCGACATCCCCAGTGTCCTAGCGTCCTAGCTATGAAAGGTCGAGACTTTCAACTTCAAAGCACCTAACTTGATACAACTCACACATTTATTCAGTTGAAGGATTTAAGCATTCAGAAATCGACTCACTAACAAAACGAAACTATTTAATTTCTCGGCTTTACAAACATTTTAAGGCCACTCTTGAATCCGTGGGTTACACTGGTTGCATATCGAGGACTGAAGCCAGGATCCAAGCTGAGTTCAAACCTACAAAAAAGTCATCGATGTGTGAGCCCACCCAAGCCTCCTCAAGCTACATCCAACTTTCCAACTTGCCTTTGAATGAGAAGAGCAAGAACACATCGCATCTCAATACCAGCCAGTTTTTGACCAATACAGTTGGGAGAACCTCCACCGAACACCAAATACGTGTATGGTGGGGGCTGGTAGCCTGGTTTCAACCATCGTTCGGGGCAAAACTCGTTGGGGCGTTCATAGTACTTTTCGTCCCATGTCAGACAGTGCGAGACACCAAATAGCAACGTTCCAGCTGCAATCTTGTGTCCACATAATACTGTATCTTGTGTCGTTTGGCGGGGGAATCCTCCCGCTGTGGGCAGTAGTCTGAGAGATTCCTTTATGACAGCATCTAAATATCTTTTACGGGGAGACAGTTAAGACGAGACATGTTCAAGTATCAAGATATGCGGCTTGATCAACAAGGCCCTTACTTCATCTGAGGAATGTTGTCACGGTTTGGGAGACCAGTGCGTCCCAACACTGAGTCTACATCTTCTTGCAACTTCTTCATGACATGAGGATTATCAGCCAACAATTTGACGGTAATTGCGATTTGGTTAGCTGAGGTATCTGTTCCACCCCAAAACAGATTAAATACATTATGTGATATTTCTTCCGTTGTGAATCTATAGACAGGGCGTGGGCACAAATTCAATAAGAGACTGATGAAAGACCTTTCAAACCTTTCGGAGGCATGAACGTGTTCATTGGCGGCCAAAAGACGGTCAATAATATCCCAATGGATTGTAGCCTCCCACTTCTCTTGTTCCGTCATGGTATCCAACGCTTTTGAAACTTCACCAGCCTTTGAATTGCGAATGATCTCCTCTTTACGCTTGATTATCTCTGCCAGATAGCTTCGAATAGGAGCGGTTATCTCCTGCCCGACTTTTGCTGAAATTCCGCTGGAATCCCAAGTTGAAGGACTTGCGAACAACCTCTGCATTAATGAGTTGAGTATCACGAAAATGTAAAACACTTATAACACCTGCGAAAAGCTTGGAGTTGATGGCTTACCGCATTGAAAAAGTCTGTGAACTTGACCAAAGCTTCCTGCACTGCAGCGTGTTCATCACTAAGTTCAGCACCCTTCCTCAAACTCTTGACCATGCCTAGGTAATGTCCAAACCCAATCTTGCCACTAGTAAAGCATGTTGAGACACGTGTTTGACTTGCTCCATAAAGAGGTCTTACATCACATCACTAGCAAGGTCATGACAGTAGACTTGTACATCAACCGACTCGTTAGCCTTTGCAGCGTCTTTCCATTGATCAGTAACTTCATCCATGATTTCAATGACAGCACCAATAACCTTGGTAATTGCAAGGGGTAAGATTCAAACATACATGGGAGCAGATCATTCACACTATCACCATAATTACATGATGAAGATGAGTCGGCCCAAACGCAGGTTGCAGAATCTTGCGAGTGCGTGTATGTGCTGGACCAACAAGAGGAAACACGCCCTTGTCCATGATCCCTTCAGCAGCTCCTGATAGGGTACCCCATTTTTGGAACACAGTCTCATTCGCGAGTATTTCACGAGCTGCGTCTGGATGGCAGACGTAGACAATATGGTATCCAAACCCGAAATCGATTTTGAAGACGCGACCATGTCGTTTGTAGAGGTCCATAATACATAGATCCATTCGTTCTGGGTATTTGGCTACCATTGGGAGGTTTCCTAGGTGTAGAAATCACGGTAAGTGATACACGTGTTATTGTTGTTTCTTGCAATTGTAAATGAACGTGCCAATGATGGGATAAATGGTATCTGACGGTACAGATGGGTTGGACTTTGAGCGAAAATTTCGATACCTAAGGATAGAAAACAGTCAGAAACTTAAAATTGAGGGAGTAATTGCTTGCACATTGTTCATACCATGTCCAATAGGCAAGAAAGCCTCCTGAAACAGCAATTGTCGCACGAGTGATTTCGACATGATGGTCGCTCCAAATTCTCGATGCATACGAGACAGGAGGTCTCAAAATATCCAGCAACCGGTCCATTCTTGCTCTTGAAAGAGAGGGTAGTCGTCAGCGAGCGACAAAAAACTACTCAGCCTGATATAAATGCATCAGCCTCGCAAACGATAAAACATTGTCCTCAAGGCACATGGGCAAAACGTAAAAAGCAATCCAATGCAGGAGACAGAGGGATCCTAAGATGCTTTATGATGCATCGAGGGTACTGGCATCAGCTTGAGCTTCGATGCACAGTCTAAACTCAAACTCATAAATTCCAAACATCGAAAACACCTATGTGATAGCCCCTGTAGTGACTAGTAAGCCCCCAGAGAGACCACAGTGCTTGGATATTTTCTCTCGTTGAATCTGCGGATTCTATCAACGAACTAATCAGAACTGCTCTACATCAGGTACTGCAGCATAGGAAACGTTTGAATGAAGTGTATGTTGTGATGAAGAGATGCTTCGCGGCAGCCACGACCTGGGCCAAGAAAATAGCAATGGATTGAGGAATGTTATCAAAACTCACTCTGCCTAGTACCACTGTGACGGATTGTTGTCAGATATACAATTTTCTATTCACAAACAACAACATTTCTACACTCTAAACTACACTCTCTCCTCTCTTTTTGTTCACATCCCATCAAGCAAATTCTGTAACATTTTTACTTGTTTCTTCAACGCAACAACCTTAGTCTGATCCTCCTTCAACGCTTGTCGAACAATAGACTCTTGATTGTCAAGAAACCCTGATACAGCTTCTGAAATATTTGCTTCTTGTTTCCTTCCACCGCCTTTCTTCTTCGTGTTCACTGAAGGCTCAGGTGCGAGTGGTGTAGTAGTAGAGTTTGATGGCATCGCAGAGTCCAAGTCAAACCAGAATTCTATGCGTGAGAAATGAGTCCGTTGTGACGTGACATTTCAACTGCTCCAACAGAATTTGGGCTTTTATCGTTACTTGAATCCTTGTCATCCCAACGTGTCAGAAACCTTTGAATGTGATTGTCGACTAGTAAAAAAAAGACATTAAGAGGTCATAGACGTTCCAAACGAATTCATACCCAAACCCAACATACCTGACTCAACCTTCTCCATAACCCTCTCAACACCCTTCCCAACGTTCTCATCTCCACCATCACTCACAAGACACGTCTTGACCAAATCCCTCCACTCAAACCACAACTTTTGCAACTCAACATCTCGAGTCCCCAACGATGTTGCCAGGTCCTGGAAATCAGACAGGGATTTGCTGGCTTGTATTTCAAGAGATAGGGATTCGTTTGTGAGTAGCTGTGATTGGCTTTTGGCTCTATGTAAAGAGCGTTGGTACATTTAAGTATGGGTTTTTTTTGCCACATCATCAACGAATCATACCCTTCAAGAGCTCGTCTCTTTGATTCAACGGAATGAGTCAATGTCTTTTCTTGATCATGTAGTTTATGTAGATGTGCTTTCATGTCTCGCAGATCTGATTCAGCTTTTGTTTTGATGTTGGTTAATGATGCCCACAAAATCCTGAATCCCATCATCAGTTACCTCGGTCAGCTTCAAGGATGATGCGCTTCTTCCTGCTCACAGGCATAACAAGTGGAGGTAGAGCGATATTGGTCCTTTAGATAAAAATTCCAAAAATGTCAGGGACATTGCGAAATATAGCTTAAGCTTTAGAAACAGCATAGATGCAGAGTAGTTCATACCTGATCCCTTTGGATTCCACCTTGATAAGTAGCATATCATCGCGGTGAGAAGGTCTATTCATCCTGTCAATCCAATGGCAAATGTTCAAGGGGTTGAGTTTTGACTTGTGATCGAACAGCAAATCTGTTCGAAGTTTTTTGCATCGCGCCTTCCAGAAAAGGAACGCCCACGAATTTAATTATTTAAATTATTATTTCTACTTTGAAGAAACAATATGTACAATATGTACACGTGTCTATATTCTTACGATTCTTCATTGCATCCATCCTCTTCTGGATCCAAAGTGAATCTCGGAGTCGACGAGTTACGATGCAACCATGCTCTATTATTACCACTATTACCAGGTACCGAATCAGCATCAGCAGCTGAAGGTGAAGTTCCACGTTTGAACAGTCGACCACCACCGCGACCATCTCCCACCGACGAAGCATGACCTTTCAATCTGTTATTTACAGGAGTGTCATCAGTTATGTGAACCAACAATGGCTCAGACTCTTCATCGGATTCATGGTGCTCCATAATAATCTCTGGCCTTTCTAATACACCACCATTACGACTATCAACAGCCCACAAAACTGCTGATGCTATGGCTCCCATTACGGCTAACGATACAAAGAAGAGTTCAACCGGCAAGAAACTCCCTCCCCAAACTCTCACTTGAGCTGCTACTAGAGGAAATACAGTCAATGCCATGTTGAGTGCCGACGTGCTTAGGCCATATCCCGTTCCAAGTAATTTAAGATTGGGTTCCTTGAGATGAGATTGATCATACATTTCTTCTTCATGCTGTATGATTGTGGCAATAGATGGCCATATTGCTACACCATACATTGAGTACGACAGACCCAAGAATATGAGCGGGAATACTGGGTATATCATCGTTAATCCTAGTATCAGATGGACGGCAGCAATAACCAATGCGCAGAGAACTAGTACTGAAGCCCTGCGACCATACTTGTCTACTAGTATGCCACAAATCGGTACTAGTACTGCTGACATGGTATCTGGGATACTAATAAAAGTACAATCGTCAGTTTCCATGTAAAAAGTCAATTTCGAAGTGGCCAAAAAAGGATCGCCTGAACCACACATACCACATAACGTTTCCAGCCATGACGGTATCGCCAGGAAACCATTTTGATTGTAAGAAATCTGATGCAATATTATTAAAGGGAACTACCGTGCCATATAGCAAGACACATATCAGACACACCAGCCAAAACGTAAATGGTAGTAGCCGTACGTCCTCCATAGCACGCGACCAAGTTGCAGCAATGGTCGTTTCTACATATATGGATGGTTGTCTGGCAAGTAGGGGTGTCGTTACTGTTGGGTCAGCTAAGCTCGTACCACGGCTTAATCTATGTTGTGGCGGTAGTGATGACATTGATTGTCGTCGCCGTGAGACTTCTGAAGTTGATGGTGATGTGGATTGGTTGGTATTATTGGTATCACTAGGTGGCGACTTATGAGCGATTACAGATACTAGAGCCATGGAAGCACCAAAGCTCAAGTAGCACATGAGGGTTCCTGCCCAGACTGCGGTTGGTACATTGGTAAGGACTTCAATCCTTGGAGAAGCTAGAGAATTCGCGACAGATCCGAATCTTGCTATACATAGATCTATGGCCCAAAAATGGGATTACAAAGTCAGTCTTGTACTCTTCGTTTAGAATCAACGTCGAGGATATGATGACGGCCTCTTACTTAATCCTAGAGCAAAAGCCAACTCCTTTCCCCTACAGGTTGACAACAGAGTGTCAATTACAGCAAGCCAAAACAAAACTTAAGACGAACGGAACGATAACATACTTGAACCATGACGTCGTAATGCTAGCCTGAACGACACTTATACTTTCACCACCAATACCAAACAAGATTCTTCCCAACACCATCAATCCAAACTGCCTAGAGCTTACACCGATAGCGAATATTGTCTGTCCAATACAGACAAACAATGAAAAGAGAATCAAGACCTTTTTTGAGTCAACCTTGTCTACTAGCTGTCCTCCCAAAAAGGGTAGGAACATGTTTGGGAAGGAGTATACCGAGTAAAGAAGATTCAATTGATATTGATATGTATCATAGTCTGATCCCAACCACTCTTGCATCGGTCTGTTGAGAGCTGCAATCAAATCATATCTAAAAATCGAAGGAAAAAAAGTTAACAGGATCATCGACTATTTTGATGCGACGTAGCAGCTTACGCATAGTAGTTCCCGAAGAGCAGCAGACACGACAATATAAGAATGAGCCATCTCCAGCCACTACTAGACAAGAAATCATATGGACTGGCCTCATCACCAGGTGGTGGGATAGTTTCAATGATGACGATGGGAGCACCACCGAAACTACTTGATCGTCGTAACAAGGAACTGGATCTTCTCCTTGCGCCTAAATGCCTCAAAGATGGGTTTCTACTTAGAGGTGTCGATGGTTGCTCCAGGATGGAAGGTGAAACCTGTTGCGCAGGTGGTGCAATGGAGGTGTCTAGATCATTGTTATCGATGAGTAGTGGTGCAAATGACAGTGATTTCGAAGGTGATACGGGCGGTTTATCGTTCAGAATATGTGCAAGATTTGGGTTTGATGACATTGACCCCTCCATATTTCTGCGAGTTTGAAGCAGGGAAGTCACTAAGCTTGATTGCAAATATTTAGAGCAAATGCAAATAGACGGGTTCTTGCCTTGATGTAGCTCGCAGCTGCTACGATGAGTGAGCGATCTATTATATCATTGCTTAAACCAAGGTGCCTGCAATAGCATAGATTAATTAAACGAGAATGGCATTGATAATCCTATAATACTATAATATACCTGCCAAAGAACCAATCTCAAGAACCGAGGTTGCTGCACACACCACTACAAGCCGTTGTATATATTATTGTCTGAAAACGATTAAGAAGCTGAAAGTCGTTGAAGTTTCACAGCAAACCCAACAGCAAACCCAACAGCAAACCAATGGATCGCGAAACGGGTCAATTGCCAAGAGTAGTGCCTACCACTTCAAGCATTAAGAGGTGAAAATCCTCAAAAATGCAAGATGAAATGAACTTACGTCAAAAACGACACCAGAACGATATGGAACTAGTACTAATATATATGTATTTGATTTATAGGATAAAAGTACTTAGTCTGGGAGATGCTGGAGTCGGCAAAAGCTGTTTGATCAAGAGATATTGTGAAGGAAAGGTAACATTCACCAAACATCACTTTTCCGAGTCATAAGTACATTTGGAGCGGAACGGAAACGATCGTGTCGAGTTTAGTTTGTATCGGAATACATACCTACCATTGGAATTGATTATGGTGTCAAGTCTGCAACTGTGGAAGAAGAAGAAGGTAAGGCAACCCATTGTGAATTGCTTGTACCCTGTTTCTGATGGACAGTCACCTTAGTCAAAGTCAACTTCTGGGATGTAGCTGGAGATCCTGTCTATTATGAAGTCAGGAATGAGTTCTATAAGGACACCAATGTGGCAAGTGCTGCTGTGAGGTTTCATGGTATACATACATCTCCAACACAACCCACTATTAGGCAGTGCTAGTGTTCGAAGTAGGATCAAAGAAGAGTTTTCAGTCACTAGAGAAGTGGGTGCAAGAGCTTAGATCGCTCTGTGATGAGAACATTGCTGTGTTTCTAGTGGCAAACAAAGTATGCACCCTGAGCAAACAAGCACACGATAGAAAATACGATGTTGTCTGACCTACTACTCCTCATTCGCAGATTGACGTACCTGCCAGAGAGGTACCTATATCAGATAGTCAAGATTATGCTGCAAGCAACAATTTCCGGTAAGGAAGCAAATTCTCCATCAATGAAATACAGCAAAACAAAGTAAAGATCATATTCAAAATCCTGTTCTACAGGTATTTCGAGGTGTCTGCTCTAACAGGATATCAAGTGAATGAACTCTTTGGAGCTGTTTTCAGGACAGCCTTGTCTACAATACCACCGTAGACCAAGTACTGCATCGACTCTTGCTGCATAAATGTGCTATTAGTAACTTATTTGTGGTCTTTTCAGCTCCGGAAGTTGTCCTTACAAGGACATATCAATGTGTTCAGTCAGAAGGTCAAACATCTCACCCCTACTACCTCTGTAGTACTTTTTGACGACCTTACCGGTATTGTATGTACATAATACATCCAGTACGGGTGTACACGAGTCCAGGTGTTAGCGATCGCTCTAGGAAAACTTTCATGCGTATATTTCAGCAAGAATTTTCGATCGAATCCTGCCAAGTGTGGATGCATGCGGAAATGCAATTAAACGCAAAATTCCTCTTTAATAGTCTATATAAGTCAGAATTTGGTCTGTAGTCTCGTGTGTATAAAGTACCGCGCAATTCATCACGCAGTTCATCCTGCACATACAAGAAACCATTAATAGGATATGAGAGAATATCAAAGATTAACCGATGCTGATTCGCCTATAGATGGCGGAGACTTGTCATCTATATCCAAGTCAAGACAACCAACGACGATCTCGACAAAACCGTTAGCACCACCCCAAGAAAATAATGCAGAAACCAACAATTATAATCACTCATCTTCAGCATCGAAATTACCATCACCAGTGAGACTACAACATAATCGAGGATCTCTGCTAGAACTGGCTGTGTTGAAGTCAGCATCGTCAGCAAATCTCCCTCCTAAACAGCCATCTACAACATTTGATCCTGATGGCCAGCGTCGACCATCAGCAGTAACAACAAGAATTAAACGGTCGCTGATTAGTTCTTTTACAAGCCCGTCGTTTTCCTCGCTACCACAAGATGAATCCGCAAGATTATCGTCTAATACAAGACTCCCAAAAGATTCTGGACAGGTGAAATTAATACTTGGGATAGCGAAAGGTAGGGACCCGTAGGGACAGTTTGATTTTTATCTTATTTATGAAACATTAACTGGAGCTGGGATTGTTTGTACCGAGCAAGTTTCAAGTTCATCAAAGCTTACTATTTGGGTCAACTGACATAGCGCTCGCTACATATGGTGCTCCTCTTTATCGGGTCAGTCACAGAGCACAAGAAGCAGCCGACAGATTGAACGTCCCCTTTGGAATCCTGTGTCTGCCATCTACACTCATGATTACGACAGGCGACGCTAGCCCAAATCATCCAACCCAGAGCCACTTTATAGACTACACGTGTCGCAACCACGTTGGGAAACTACAAGACATTGATCGACTTGCCAGAAAAACACGATATTGTGCACCTCCTCGTAGTGGAAAGCACTCACCAACAAAGCCACCACCCAATACTCTAAAATCAAACGCAGCGTCCCCGAATGGTGACGTACGTACACCACCACTGCTACAACGGAAACCGTCAAGAGCCTCCGAAATCCAGCTGGACGATGATGACGACGATGAAGACAATGACGAAGACAGGACTACGAAAAGTGTCAAGAGGAAGGCCAGCTCTTCTTCGATGAGGTTGCCACCTACCGTTGACGAACTTCTTGGTGAATTGGACGACATTATCGAAAGAGAGGACGACTATCCTGTGATAGTCAACGTTATTACGCAGGGCCTGTCTTCGGCGCTCTTGGCATTGTTGCTATTCGGGTCAGACTTTATGGAAGCTGGAGTGTGCTTCGCCCTGGGGTGTATATCGGGTTTAACCATCTTGCTGTCCGATGCGTCATGGTTGAAGTGTGCAGAGATACTTGTACCATTCACCGTGGCAATTATTTCTAGATTAATTCATTTGACACCGTTGGGGCGCGACTTTTGCCATCCCATGGTCTCACTTGTTAGTTGCTCAGCGTTCTTTCCAGGTTGGTAATATTTTAAAGCGGCCACCGACCCGAAATGCTTACAGACCAACTATGTAGGTTATATGCTAGCTATGGGAATGTTAGAGGCGGGATCAAACAATGCTGGAGGAGCCGTTCGTGTGTTTCAAGCCTTCTTGCGGAGCTTGAAGTTGGGATATGGACTTTCTCTTGGAAGGTACTTGTGGGGGTGGGGTGCCTTTCAACTTCGAATGTGAGCTGATTGCCGTAAAACCTACCAACTATAGCCGTCTCGTAACAAGCATGATTGGAGAATCAGAGCTTTCAGGAGGTGCTTGTGCAGCTCCTCATCATTCGATTGATTTATGGCGGATCCCTTTCTTTATACCATTGAACTTTGGTAAGAGGTACTTGTCCTTCCAAGGTCAGCCTTGCGTATCTTCATAACACCCTCAATTATCGATAGTTGTGATGATTATGTTTAGAGCCAAGATGAAGCAGTGGTTTCACATCACAATCATCTCTTTTATTTCCTTTTGCGTCATCCTCGTTGGCACTCAATTCTTTGCAAAGGACACTGCGACCCTTCTTGCAGCTTTTGCACTTGGATTAGGTGGGAATATATACGCTAGATTGACAAATGATATCGGTAAGCCCTTCAGGAGTCTTGTGGGAAGGAGGCTCTAACGGCAAATATTTGATTAAACAGGAATTGCAGCTATTCTATGTGGTATGATTTGGCTGACACCGGGTTCGCTGGGCGTGAATAGCGCTAGGCAGATGTTTGATAGTACTAACGGTGAACTCGCTGGTGGTACCTTGTTTGGTATTGATATGATGACAAGGGGACTCTGTAAGTAACTTCCAAAAACCTTCGCGACAACAGTGAACTGTTGATCAAGCATGCTCTAACCCAAAATGCATACGTAGCCATTGCTATTGGATTGTATGTTGCTAATGTCGTGGTTTTCCCCTTGTCCAAAGACAAAGTCAAGGCCGCAGACGCAACTCTTTAAACCAGGATCCAACGAATTCGGACTTAATGACTTACTTAATATTATTGGAAATAAAATTATCTATTGCATCGATCGAGAGAAATCTGCTCTTACGAGTACAACGTTCAGTCGCATAAGTTCTACTACCATTATCATATTAAGCGCCATGCATTCACTTGACGCGTGAAAATGAAGGACTAGATGATTTCTGCCATTCTCTTCTCTCTCCAACCACTTCCAAACACCTACACAACTTGTATCTTTCTCAAACCCAACTTTGAACGATCAAGCAACAAAACACAATGAGCAGTACATTGCTGACACTCGGGCTCGTCTTTGCAGTCCCCCACGCCATCAGATACATCCAAACTCAACGTCAAAAGGCCCTCCAACCAGCTCCCAAACGTGAACGAACCAACTACGATGAAGCTTGTGTCTACCTCCTCGTCACTGCGTTTTTCGTGTTTGTAGGAGTAGCTCTCTTTAATCCACCACCAAATCTAATGAACACCCTTAGTCTATCCATTGATGCCCCCTCATTTGTTGTGCGTAATCGCTTTCGTGACTTTATGGCACATCAGTTTCCTGGTTGGACTGAAGGCTGGAGTAATCCGATCAATGCTCCTCCTGGTGTTATAATGGTGCCGTTAAAGGACTCTGATGCACCACAGAATCCAGGCTGGGGTACTCCTGAAACACGTAAAAGGGCATTGTATTATGAACGTGTTAGTGAAAAGTTGAAGTCTGATGATTTACGACGCATGTATCATCGATATGGAGAGGCTGCTGTTGTTGGGTGTACATGGTGTAATGAGGGATTTGATTATTTCTTGTGGCTGTCTCCTGGATTAGGTGCCAGTTATGGAGGTAGTGATTTTTGTTATATTCTATATGTTACTTGCGCTAATTGATCCAAACATTTTAGGTGTGCTTGCACTTGTTGGCTGCACAACACTGTCACGACGCAAAGAAGCATGGAGAACGTATGCTACTGTAGCTGCTGCGGCACTAGCTGCCATGGAGTTGTACATATACCTGTCAACCGATATTAGGATGCTGCCAGGCCAGAGCATGATGAATACCCTGTATGAAATGGTGGTGTTTTATAGAAGGATTGCTCTAGCTTTGCTTTGTCTTACTGTGATGGTTGTGGATACTGGTGATGACTGGGCTGTGGGTATTTAGTTGACTTTGCGCTTATCCTTGTAGAAGATGATCTGATCCTTTTTTTGCATTGATTTAGGATGTCGATTTATTGGACGCAATCACTATGCGCTCCCAAATACACTTCAGTCGTCTGGCTGCTGCTCGTTTAGGGCGAGGAACGACGCTAGGAGATGAAAAGCTACGAAAGAGATATTTTGACTTTCATAAAAGTCGAGAAGCTCACAATGATGCTGTCATGAAGAGTAATGAATACAAGGTTTGTATAGCTCCCATATTTATAGCATTGTACGGTATCTGACAAATCCGTCGTATAGGATTTACGCGAAAAGGCTTTCAAGGCATCTGGCTTTTCTCTCGAGCGATTAATAGAAGACGCTCGTGGCTTCCTCCGCGCACCTCTAGAAGTCTCGGTTGCTGAAGGCCTTGTGGACGGGCTAAGCTTAAAGGAGGAGGAGCAAGTAGAAGAAACTGCTGTAGAGGAACCTGCCCCTGTCTCTGCCAAAAAGCTCAAACCCAAGTCCACATAGATTTCATGTAGATGTGTACAGTTTAAATTATATTGCCATCTGTATACTGTAGAAACGTGTTACTTAGAATAGTTTATCCTTTCCTATTTCCGCCTGAATTTTGACACGCTGCCTTTCGAAGCACTCATTCGTTCTCGGATCATTCGACTGACAGAGCAACAGCTGAATCTGCCACAATGGATATCTCGGGATACTCGTCTTTTATCTCTATGTAAGCCTACGAACAAACCTTGAATGAAACCTATATGTGGTGCTGACTGATTGATTTCTGTAGGTACATGAAGTAAGGCAGTGGATCCGACCATAATAACTAAAATCTGACTAGATCTTGTGTTATAGGATGCACCCTGAAACTAATTTGGCCTATGTCAAGTGTGAGTATTCGTCGATTACGACAACACATCACCAAAATCACACGTTTTGAGCAATTTGGGATTGCACACAAAAGGAAATTATATTGCCATCTGTATACTGTAGAAATGTCCGTATCAACTCGAATAACGAATTTCGCCGTTTAAACGTGCTGTTGCACGTATGAAACGTAAACTCACTAAATTCAAACTCCACTGCTCATTGTTTAGACTATGCCAAAGAACCCAACGCTACGTCTGCCAACTTTAAAGCTTTGGACTCGAAGGGCTTCACTCTGACTTATAAAGTCGGGGACGAAGACAAAACCACTGCTAGAATTCCATGGTCACGTCCAATTACAAAACGAGACGATGTCAAGGACGTGCTAATGGAGATGGCTACAGTTGCTGAAAAGGCTTTGGGTCTTGTAAGTTCCTATTCCTGCCCCATCTCAACAGTGTATCATTGATCCCCTCCTCTTAACTCATAGCCGTCGTCTCTACCACCAAACCCTGTTGGGTACTCAGCAGACCGTGATGTCTTCACAAACGCAATAAACCCGGGTATCCTTTTAATGGCTGCACTCTACTACATGGGGTGGACGCGTCCCGGTACTTGGTGGTCTACCGCCTCTGCAGTTATTTTATTTGGCCATGTTCTCGAGGCTTCGTTTGCTATCATGGTGGTTCGAAGGCGTGGATGGTAAGGCTGAATATTTGGCCACTACTGAATTTTAAGCGATTGTGTCATCACTTTTCCGCGCACTTCTAGGTATTCGTTGAAGAATCAACTTCTTTGGGTCGCTCAGACCTTCATCATGGGTTACCCCAGTCTTCAAGCTCTTATGAAGCATGGCTCGACTGTCCGTAATGCTGCTGCTGCTGTCAAGAATGATGCTGCCAAGAACGAGTAGTTATGAGTAGTTATGATGTGATGTTGATGCTTTTAAGTACTGTGTTTATGAAACAGTAGTTTTTACAATAATGTGTGTTCAGATATATATAAAAAGTAATCAAATCCATCTCCTTGCAACGTTCGGGCGGTTTTCACTTGCATTGTCGGTTCCAGATTTAGTAGTGGTTTGCGAAAGTGGGGTTGAGCGAATGTTATGTGAATGAACTTTCCCGTGGGCTTCAGTATAGCTTGTACTTGTTGCATGTAGTCTCTAGCAAGCTGCTTTGTCTCGTCAGAAGGATTCCAAGGATCCTATAGGAAGTGGATACATTTTTTGTCGCATTCTCGTTCTTTCACAAACACCCCAGCTTACGTGATCTCTTTCTGACGTCAAGAACGCATCCAGCGTTCCTTTGTCAATAGCGATGTCAAACGATCCAGCTTCGAAACTCGAGTCCAGCCTAAACACGTCAGCTTCAATGAATTCCAACCCAGGTCTCGACAAATTTCGCTGTTTCATAGATTGAATCACGACGGGTGAATAGTCCATAGCGACTTGATTATGATACCCGGTATCAAACATGTCTTCTGGTAGTGTGGAGTTGCCAGTTCCTGGTGACAAAAAATTGGTTGATGAATAGGCTTGTGAGCTAAAACAGGCGCAAAGAGAGCGAGTAAGCATACCAAGATGAATTATACGTGCAAATTTAGGGATCAACTCCTCCAAATGCGGCCGTAGTGCCTCGAAGGTCTTGAACCAGTCAAATGTAGACCCGATTTCTTGCTCATACCTCGAATCCCTGTTGCAAACCAAATTTCGTCAATTAAAATCTCCAAAATTGATGATTCAAGTGGAGCCTACCAGTATTCCTTGGTCCCATATCCACTATTCTTATCCGGCAGAACATCCATGGCCAAACATCAAACTGTGTGAATGTCTGTCACCTCATCTCGCGAGGATGTCAAAGCATCTATTATCGATCGCCCATTAAAATCACACCAAAGCAATCTCGAAGTGCTTTTCACGTTGATTCCTTCACATCTTACTCTTACGAAAGGACTAGCAACATTCAGGACTGTTTGATCTTGGAATGACAATTAGAATGAAGACCTTTATCTTTATAATTCATCTGGTGTCCTACTCTATGACATTTATCTCTGCTCAACAAAACTCAACCACCACCGTGTGTAAATCTGGAACAAGGATTGCTGCCTTTGTAGTGAGGTAAGCTGGCTCATTTTTGCCTTCTCCTCGATTCTCGCCACTAATGAGCTGTTGATTGATAGTCAACCTAATTCATCAACAATTGTCGCCGTTGGAGGACATGCTACAGTCGCGTGGAGTTACTCGCCTCCTGCATGGTAAGGCGGAGGGAGGGAGAACGAGTCTCCTACTCAACTGGGGCAAAAAAGCCAACTTTCAAAACGTACTTAGGGCAACGAAACGACCACAACGTGTGTCCATATACATAAACAGAGTTGCTACTGGTGTAGATCTTGTGTTCGACGACCCAGTGGTAACAGATCTTGATGTGACAAATAACGCTACTGTTTACGATTGGTTTCCTGTGCAGTCTCTTATTGATGGAAATTACAAGATCAGGTACACATTTTCTGCTTTTGTTGTTGTTTGGTGGTTGTGAATGGTGATGACTGTGTGATGTGTTGATGAGGATGATATGGGAAATTGGATTCGATTGGACAATGGAATTGATCAAACACACTTCAAAAATCCTCTAGGATTGCGGGAGACGGCAAAGACACACAAAAAGGAGGCCAACCAAATCGAGATGTGTGTTTTGCTGACGGTGAGGTTGTACCTGCCAACAGTGCTCAATTTGTTGTCGTAAACCCACCATACCTACAACCAGTGGCAAATCCATTACCTGCATTCAGTTCAGCACCACAACGAAACGAAATCAATGTAGCTCTTGTGCTTGTGTTAGGAAGTTTGTTTACTTGGTTGTGAATATTTTAACAGTATAGTACATTCATGCAACATAGATGCAATGACATGAAGCATTTTGAACGATCAGCCTTTTGAATCTTTTGGGGTCTCGCTTGCTGCAGAGTCTTGGATGTGAAGTTCCTCTTGACGTATTCCTTGACATTGATTGCAAGACCTTCAATGACACCGGAAGCAGCCTTTGTAGTAGTACGAGCAGCTTCTCGTCCCATATCTTGTGCTAAATAAGCGTGAGTGCGTCAGGACCAGGTAGAATCGCCTACATCTCGGACTTGCCATCAATGCCACGAGAGTCTTTGCCTGCTGCTTCAGCAGCAAGTTCCTTGCAGTTTTGACATGATGCAAGACATTCGTACAGTCTGCGACTTTCTCGATGCCCTTGTCAGCAGCTTTCTCAGTCGTCTTGTCAATGGTTTTGTCAACGAGTTGTCTTGCTACGCTCAAAATATGCCGGTCGCTCCATATAAGTTGGCTTCTTGAGGACGGTACAAAGCAGATTCTTGCTAGATTACATGGCGATTTTTCTCGATTCAATGCGCCAGTTCTGCGTCTTTGTGAAATTTTGGAGAAAATAATTGTATATTCCAGCGAGAGAAGACGAGTAAAGGAATAGAGAGCAACGTGAAGGCGGGTATATGAAGCTGAAAAATTGATCTACCAATTATGTTTCGAGCCTCACTCGTTTTGGTTCCTAGCTGCAGTCTCCTTAAACAAGATCCTAACTTTCTGCGACAGAGAAGCCAGGCCAAACAAGTCTTATCGGATAGCTGAGACAATGCAAGCGGCTGTAGAGACAATTCTCCAAGAGCATGGTGTCTTAGAAGAATTCAGGATGCTGCCAAGCGACCTGACTGAAGAAGATGGAGCGTGGACTATTGAAATTCGAGCTGCCGGTAAGTGGAAGCCCACCAAGATGAAGTGGATACAATTTATGTTCAGAAATGTTCGTCGCCACCGTCTCGTTTGTATTGCTTTCCTAATCGTTCGATGAAAGATCGCTGACATCAACGTTCGATCCAAATTCACTCACCTTGTTTTTCATCCTTCTAGAGAGCAGCTCTTTCTCTCAACCATTGGCTATATCAAGGCTAGGGGATATCCTTACACTGGCTCACTTCAGTCCTGAGGTGTGGGACGTTGTCTATGAACCGTTAATGGAGTACTCGCTTCAATCTGAACCATGGAGACCTTTATGCATAGAGAGACACTACGAGGGCCATCGTAGATTAGAAGACGGTGAAATCACCATCGAAGAACTTGAAAAGTTCGATAGGGAATGGGCGAGCAGATTAATAGAACGAGGTTATCATGATACGTCGGTTTCACACGTTAAACGAGTATCAGTACCCAAACGAGATTCTGTGAAATCAAAACTCTGATTTAAAAGTGTCCCTATTATTCACACTGCGTCTATATTCTGTATCTACATCTAAAGTCAACATAAATCTCAACTCTTAAATTTCCTGAACTTATTTAATGCTCTATGTGGTCTACTATGCCGTGTCCAGTGAGATGTAAGAGCTTTAGATGGGCAGCAGGTCTGCTGAGTTTTGATGCCATCTTTTGAGTATGCCACTCTTTGCGTCCAGCATCAGTCCTGTGGCGGAAAAACAACTTTGAGCTGGTGTCCCAAAATACAGTGTCAACAGTCGTCCGCACCAATCGGTAATCCAACCGTCTCCTATAGCATCCTGCTTCATGCGAATCAACTTGGCTTTTGAAGAATCAGGCAGTATTGTTTGTAGCAGTGCGATCACAGAGACTTCCTAAATAACGAGATGTGGTGTCAGTCCATGAACAAAAAACACCGAATTCTGCTGCTCAATAACTTTTACCTCGACGCCGCCAGCAACGTCATGGAACTAAATTGATTGAATGTCAGCAACATTAAGCTATTGAAACACGACAGGACCCATACTCCTTCAGCCACAAGTAGGAATCCAGTCAGAGCAAGCTTCTTGACCGACCATATGGCCAGAGTATTCCATGGGGCCGTGACGCCATCCAACGGCTGTGATGGTGGTTGAAAACGGTGATCCTTGAAGCACTTTCCAACCACGAGTGTGTCTAAAGATTCAGAGATTCAGAATGTCGTGACAAGTGATAAACCCAGACACCCGTGCTCCACACCTTCCGACAGGTGAGATATCAAGACATCTACTATCTCCCGTGTAGCTACTGCTTCAACAGACTGGTACAGTATACAGTCAAAGTTTTTTGCAGCAGCAAACAGTAGCAGTGCATTCAAAGCTGGGATGAAATTGCCCCAATCTGATACTGGAACTAGCGATATGTGGCTTACAGCTCCAAATTCTGCGTTTAAAGCATTGGTTAGATTCAAATCATCGGCTGGAAACTAGTTTGTAAAATGTTGGCGTTAGCTCCAATGTCACGAAATTGTTCAGATTGATGTCTTACGGCGATTGCCACTTGATCACAATATGAAGGAGCAGAGAGCACCAGTTTCTTTAATGTCGATAGATCTACCGGCGATGAGAGTTCTTTGACGTTCTTTCGATGTATTCGAACAGCTGCAAGGACCTTCATTTCTAAAATTCAAGAAAGTTCGTGAATCTGAGTGTCTTTGTCCAATACGGGTAGTTTGCTATATCAGAATTATGGAAATGATCTCACATTATCTTCTTCTTCACCAAACAGGGTTCGCTATTATTGGGCTGCAGCAAACAGCTCGCATGAGCAAGGGGGACGCGTTTTGAGGGTTGTAGCAGTACTGTAGTCTGTAGTTTTGCTTTCTTCTTTTCAGTTCAATATAAACAGTGATTCAAACAGCAAGCTTCTGCGACCAAACAAAATTCGACAATAACTCGAAGAACGACATGTCGCCAGCAGAGCACTCGGGTATAGCTGCAGAGCCACCAAGCACTAGCAATTTCCAAGAAATCAAGTATGAAATCCAAGGTCAAATCGCGATTGTATCGTTGAATCGCCCCAAAATTCGAAATCCAATTTCAAGGTATGTAAGCTTCGTCAAACGATCAGAGCATCGAACCGCGTGGTGGTCTGCTGTATATTTTACGCGATTACATATGATATGGAACCGATTTGGATTGTTGTTTCAAAGTTGTATTACATGTCGTGACAAAGGTCAATGTCGTGGACATTCATCCACTACCTGTTAACACCAATGAAAGTGCTGTTCTGCATACTTAAATAACGTGTATATCTTGCCAAACCATAGAAAAACCACTGAAGAGCTCGACAACGCCTTCAAAGCTGCAGCTGCTGATGATGCTGTCAAAGTTATCATTCTGAGAGGCGAAGGATCCTGTTTCTCTAGTGGTCATGACCTTGGAAGTCCCTCCAGGAAGGATGACAAGATCATCTCGAATTTGGAAGCTCGTGGTGTAAGAACGGCTTGGTAGTTCTGGCATATGGACAACAACGCTCCAACACTCTCTGGTCAACAGGTTCGAGGTACTTACGAGGTCTGGAGCTCTCTCGACGTCGAGATGTGTCTGAAATGGAGGCAGCTCCCCAAACCGATAATTGCAGCAGTGCACGGATATGTGATCTTCCATGCAACTGCTCTGGTTTCGATCTGTGATCTCGTAGTGGCAGCAGAAGGGACCAAATTTATGCCAACGATGCGTAAGAATTCAAATGAGCTTTCCATCAATGACATTCCAGTGGGCCTGAACTTTCACCTCTTTAGTACAATATTGCAGCCTTCCATACGATCTAGGCCTGAACATTCGAAAGGCCAAAGAAATAATGTTTACGCAACGGTTTATGCTCGCCGAAGAGCTTGAGCAACTTGGGATTGTCAACAGAGTCGTTCCATTGGACAAGCTGATGAGTGAAGCTACAGCACTAGCTTCTCTGATATGTGACCGATGTGATCCGTTTCAATTGCGGATGATGAAGGCATCTGCTAACTCGATGCAAGATGCAGCTGGATTTACTACGTCTTTGCGATACAACCTGGGATACTACGCAACGAGACGAGCTTCTGGGAATGATGAAGGGGCATCAAATGTCGCAGGTTTGTAATCTAATACGAAAATTCTGCCTGAGGAAACTCATTCGCGAGAATCAAACCGTGAATCTGACGTTTGCATGTTATAGACTGGAGGGCTACGAAGCGAATGGCTCCAATAGCCGAAGGAGAGCAGGGTGAGAGTATGTACTGGAGCACAACTGCACCGTTATCAGCTTCATCAAAAAGAGGAAGGTCTAAACTGTGACTCTCTGGACTCACATGTATTTGGATTATATAAATGAGGCATCTGCTTTGATACTTGGTGGTTTGACATAGTCCACTTCAACAATGGTCGGCATTATAGAGCGTGGCCGTGGCTTGATGCTTCTAGTGGATATTTCTGGGATGAGACCACTTAAATTCATACCAATCACACGATCCGCAAAGGCTGGGAAGTACATCTCTAGCCATGATCTCAACATCTTGCGATCAGTGACGATGGAGAGAACAGGTGTAAGAACGAAAGAGGAGACTCCAAAACAGACAACAATCCCGTCCAACTCAAAGGGTCCTGATTTTGAATCTGAATCAAGAGCTGTTTCGGGCCTCAATACTACGTAATTCAAGACATACCTTGTTGACCCGATATTAACTCGTACGTCAGATATAAGGCAACAGGTGTCCAACAGAAGAAATATCCTGTCACAATATACACGAGACTGTAGAATGCTGTGGAGCTAGCAGTCTCTATGTTTCCTGAACTATTTCGACCCTTGTTCCCAAAACTACCTCTGACTGCTACTGCCGTCTACAACGAGTGATTAGCCGACATGGATTTTAATGTTGGCAAATCCTTCATCCATCACCTGACTGACAGTCTTCCACATTTGATAGTTACAGAAAATGATAACGCCTCCAAAAGCGCTCAATGACACAAGCCAATATACAGTCAGCGCTATGTTTTCAGGCGTTCTACTCGATGCATTAATCATGCACATTGATTTTGATGACCATAGCTGTACGAATCCATCAGAAACTATTTCGACAAAGTGTTGGCAAGTTGATCAAAGGTCTTGCAGAAGCCATGCATACTTACATAGTCCTGCAACATTTACCCACGTTGTTGTTACCAATACCGCCGCAGCAAAAGATAAAGTCGAAGCCCAGGCAAGCATAGTTTTCTTGCACACAGCCAGGTACCTGATTACTGACAGAGACACTATACCAGCAAACGTGCCCAGAGCAGTTATAGCGTAGCAGAAAAATTCAACCTGGCAAGTTACTGGGTTGTATTCAGGTGAAGGATGGTAGCCTAGGATCATGGTGTATATCTGAGCAGGTAGTATTCCAAAGAAGGCGGCTAGGCCCGACATTGTGCATCCAAGGGCCAAGTGGAGATATTGCGCTATATTAAGAATATGTCAAATCGCTCGAAGCAAAGCATTCTTTAGTACCTCAAACCACTGACGAGTCAAAAAGTGGCGTTTTCGTCGTATGAGTATAAGTATGCTCAAATTTAGCACAAACGAAATCACAATAAATATAAATAATAAGACGAAAATCGTCCATTGGCCAGGATTTTGGAAAATCCCTGGATTTGATTCTGAGTCCATCCTTCCTCTTAGTTTGTTGTCCTAGTTTAAGCGCTCTACAATTTCCTGATTCCCGAAAGACACCTAACTTTAAAATTCTCCGACCATAAGGGTGCGCGATGCGTCCAAGTATCATAGGGATATTTTTCGACCTATTTGGTAGGTTGGTTTTCGTGCTTCCATAAGCCAGACGCGTTTGCGGCATTGGGGTCGTTGATACACAAAAGGAGGAAGGAGATCGTATTGCAACAAACAATGTCGACCAAAACCGGAATCTATAATAAATGTGTAGGGACTACAATCTTATCGCCTTGTAGATTCTCTAGGGTTTCCATCATCTGCATCATCAACAACGAGAAATCCAAACCTTTATTATGGTTCAACTGACTTTCACAGTATTTGGACTATATAAATGATACATCTCCCCTGATACTAGGTGAGCCATAAATAGCATATTCAATGCTCGGCAGCCGCGAGCGTGGCTTGGGTGGAACTTCTGGTTTTGAGCCGCTTTGACTCCACGATACAACGACAGGATCCACAAAGGCTGGGAACCACATCTGCTGCTCTCAAGACCTTTCTATCAGTGATAATTGATAGTATGGGAGTGACCACATAAGAAAACACACCAAAGGAGACGACGAAGCCGTCCAATATGAATGGGCCTATTTTTGAAATGTGTATCAAATCCTTTTTCCCCATGCCTGAAGCGGGCGGTTCAAGTCTTACCTTTTTGACCAGATATTATCTCGTATGCTAAATATAAAGAAACTGGTGTCCAACAAAGGAAGAATCCTGCCACCAGATACACAAGACTGCAGAATGCAGTGAGGGTAGCCGTCTCCATATTTCCTGGAGCATGCCAAGCCCGCGTCGGACCCAGACTATCTCTATGCGCTAATGCGGCCTAGAAATCAATTGTTAGCCGAATTTTTTGTTGGTATTTGTTCTTCAGCGTACATTGTTCACAGTCCTCCACATTTGATAGTTACAGAAAACGATAACTGATCCAAACGCTGCGAGTGACGCTATCCAGTATAGCGTCAAAGACATATGCTCATGGTTGTGGCTCCAGGCAGTAATCATACACATTGATTTTGAAGGCCATAGATCCACATACCCGTCAGAAACTGTTTGAGAAATTGTGAACAAAGCGTCTAAACGAGCAGTAAACATGAACATCATCTACATACACAATCCGACAATTGTGACCCAAGACACAGTTGCTACCACGATACTGGCAAGACACAGAGTTGACGTCCAACCAAGCATGGTTTTTTTGCAAACAGCCAGATATCTGATTATCGACAGACATGCGATAGAAGCGAATGTGCCGATTGCGGTAGCTACGTAGCAGAAATATTCAACGTGGCAGGTTATTGGATGGTTTTCTGGCGAAACATGGTATCCCAATGCCATCGTGTAAAGTTGAGCAGGGATTATTCCAAAGAGGGCAGATACTCCAGATATCACGCATCCCAATAAATGCAGGTATTGTGCTGTACAAAACAGAGGGGTCACTGGCTAGAATGCGATCAAGTGAAATCATTCAACAAACACAACTTTGAAGATCCAAGACCTGCAAACTCGCTTCAAGCAGCGTAACTTGCACCTCTGTGCAAAGATCAACTATTCAAGGTAACTTACGAGTCAAAAAAGAGCGTTGTTTGTGTATCATTAGGATTATACTCAAATTCAACACTAGAGAGACAACGTTGAAAATGAACAATATGATGAAAAACGTCCATTGCCCTGGATTTAAGAAAATCCCTGGATTCAATTCTGAGTCCATCGTTCATATTCAGAGCATTGCTCGCCACGAAAATTTTGAAACTACTAAAGTCAGGATTGAACCCGACTTCTGGCATCCAACCTTAACACTCTAAAATTCCCCGAGAGCTTCGGATGTCGAAGGGCCAGCGAGGATTTTGGAGATGGATTCTGCTTGAACTGACTTTCTGTTGTGCCCCGTCTCGCCAAGAAGATGAAATTGCGTCAACTCAAATTATCTTGGATTTAAGTATTTGAACAATTTAGAGCCGAGTGGAAGATGGAGATGAGACGTTGAGTAGGATAAAAGCCTAAAGTTAGAAACTCAATGTCGATTCTTCACTCTTCATTGCCTTTCGATTCGGAAACGACCGACTGTTCAACACAATGAAATTTAAAATGCAATACTAGCTATATCAGAGAGTCCAACAGCCAAAGCTCTAGCTGTTTCGTCCACTTATGAGTCAGGAAAGATCGATTCCTCTGCATCATCAGCTCGACACTGAAATTCAGAAGCAGTGATGTAGCATTGAAAAAAAAAATTAGTATGATATAGAACTTCCATTGTCCAGGATTTGTAAAAAGCCCTAAATTAATCTCTGGGCCCATCGTTATGTGAAGACTGAAGGTTGAGCTGTTTTCTTTTTGTGGAATCTTGGTATCGAGTGTTTTGAGGGTCACGCCAAAAATTGGCTTTTTAAGTATCCGGGCACCAGCAGGAATCAGGGAGCATCCGTCATTGCAAGGATATTATTCAGTCCAGTTTGGCGGCTTCCCTCGAGTCTTTCTCAACGCAAACTGTATTTGCGTCCATCTGTAACCAGTTTCTTCATTTCTCGACGATGATACGATGGTAGATACAAAGGACCGACACAAAAGCTTGTTTTGTGTTAAAAAATTTGGACGATCGTTCATGAGATAACCTCTATTGTTGAAGGCTTCTGTATGCAATCGCCTGACAACCCTGAACAAAGTTTGCACTATAAACATATATTAAGGGAGATAAGAAATAAGAGATGCGAAATCCAGACGATATAGATATCATAACTATTTATGTTCGAGGCAGACAGACAAGTGTTTCCTCCGGAATGGGATATACAGAAATTTCTCGTGGTACCAATTCGAGTCCAAACTCAAGAGGTCTTGTAAGTGGGCCTGCCGTGGGACCAACGAAGGACGATTCAGTTCTACTGTCATTATGAGGTCTCGAGGGATTGGATTTTGATCCTCTGGAAACCTCAGAAACCTCAGGTCCGTGAATTGTATGATATATTGTACGTCTTGCACGTTTTGGCATCCAAATTTCTAGCCAGGCTCGAAGTAACTTTTTGTCCGTAGATATAGAAAGGAGTGGAGTCAAGATATATGATGAAACGCCACAACAAACGGCAATTCCGTCAAGAATCCAATGACCTAAAGATTAAAATGGTCAATGTCTTCTAAAGACACCCGAGACAGATGCTTTCAACCTTACCGCTATAGCCTGATATAAGCTCATATAACATGTATAACAACACCGGAGACCAACAGGCAAAGTAGCCGAGGACCAAATAAACGATAGTATGAAACGCGTTCGAGCCAGCACTCTCCATAACGTGATTGTTAGCGTTTTGAACCGAGCTTTTTCTTTGTTTCAAATTGACCTAATTTAAAAGAATATGTACTTGCTTCCGAAAAATGAACTAGAACCACCAACCAACCTCTTTGACAGCTAGCCACAACTTGTAGTTGGCTGAAAAATAATCTTGTTAAGATTTGTTCGAGATTAAAGGATGCTGCAACTGTTTCATACCAAACATGATTACATTCCCTGTTGAACCAAGGGCAAAGAGCCAGCAAAGCGTCACCACCTATCCAGAAGGGGAGCACTGAGATTCGGTCTGGTTTGAAAGCATTACTGCATCTGCCATGCTTACAATATTCGCTGGCTCTCGATTCCACGCGGCCATTTGGCAGAATATTTGTGACGGCCACACCACAATGTATTCCGTGCAGACTTGGTTTGACGAACAGTGGGTGTTAGCGAATCATGATAAAACCGAACGCAATTTTGAGACTTACACAAAGCTCCAATGCTTGTAGCAACGACAAACGTGATTGCAGCAATGGCCATTATCAAGGAATCCCTCCAGCCTAAAAATTTATGTTTGCAAACAGCGAGGTATCTGACTAGACTGACACAGGAGATAACAGCCATAGTTCCAGAAGCTGACGTATTGTAGGCAAAGTGCTCCAGTTTACAGAGAGCTGGGTATGTACTGGGTGAAACATGGTAGCCGATGGTCATTGAGAAGATTTGGATTGGTATTATCTGTGAAAGAGTGTGAATAATGGTCCAAAAGGTCAATCTTCCGTAGTTGATTTACCACTAGTGCAGAAATCGAAGATATTAAAGCACCAATGGGTACGTGCAAGTAGTGCGCTATATGTAGACAAGCTGGTTGGTTAAAAGATTCTCATTTTTAAGACAATGAATAGCAGGGTACATACGTGTTAAGAACGTTCGATTCCTTGAAAGCATGAACAGGAGGCTCAAATTCAGCAAAAGCGATGAAATGTTTAGCACAAAGACCACCGAATGAAAGAACCATTGATTCCAACTCGAAAGACTTGCGAAATCAGGCGGATCCACCATAATACGACACGATGCAAAGTTTCGTTGGGGTCCAACAACTCTATTAAAGTTGCAATCACACGGTGCGCCATGATTGGGGAATTGTTTGAAGGGGATTTTTGGAATGTAGGGTCGAAAATAGCAGGAACGTGACGTCAAATGTAGGGAATTTAACAACTTTTTTTATCAGTTTTATAGCCTAAGCAGGGATCACGTTCGAAAACCCCCGGGCTTGGTGTCTTGATGAGCCTGTGAGCGACGAGGTTGGATCAAAAGCGAGGTCTGACGGCGGATGCCCATGCATCGACAGCGCAACATGCCATGATGACGTGATCGTATTTCATCCTGGATTCACAGTTAGGTTCACAGCGAAAAGCAGCGACAAGAAAGTGTTGCCGAAGCTTGTGGTGGAAAGTGAGCCTATGAGGTGTTTCCATGGAAGGGAGTTCGTTATTACTGCATAAATTACTATTAGCATACGGAATTCGCTTGTTTTCTCAGTGTGCGTTTAAAATCTGCTGAATTTTAATCTCTGTGGGCACTTTGTAGGTCAAGATGGCACATGGCATCGAGTCATTGTTTTCGGCGTGTTTTGGATGGAACAAACCAGTTTCTTCGCGTGTCTGAGGCCAGTAGTGCTTAAGCTTGCGTTCGTCCGACGCGCCCCATTCGAACTTAGCTAACAAACGCTTACGGACAATTAAATCTAGTGTGCATGTGAAGCTTGTAGAGAGCTTGTAGCGGCCGTCGTTTGGTAGCTCTTGGATGCACTCGCCTGGTCGCTTCGTTGGACCAAACATAAAGTCACACCTTTGTATTGACGTGTACCATGGCCACCTTTCAACTATGGAGGAATCCTTCAAAGCTGCGAATTTCAGAAGCACAAGAAACATCTATGTAAGGATTTCTCCTCGTTGTCTAAGTTAAAGCCCCTGCATCAACATCAAGATGTCAAAATGCTAGTGAAGGCCCTCTGGTGGAATACAATTTGTACATATAGTCAGAATGCTAACAAACTTCTTTTCTTCACTAGCTTTGTAGGGGGGATACCATTCGAAATGGACTTGTTCCATTTAATGCAACTTTTTAGCAAATACGGAGTCATTACATTGGTTAGAGCACGGCCAGATCCAATCGCCAGAGCAACCATCAGGCATCGAGGTTTTGGAGTCATACACTTCCAAAGATCAGCCCAGGCATTCGCTGCTATAAAGTCTATGAACGGATTCAATGTCGCTGTAGAGAGGGTGTTGCGGGTTGAGAAGAATCGGGAACCAAAGGATCAATTTCTGGAAGCAGTTCGAACAACGTATGGGATTGCAGTGCAATTTAACATGCAACTCTCTTCTTGTTCTAGGCAAATAACCATAATTTTGCGAATAGCTCCAAGCTTGAAACTGTTAAGCAGTCGTTCGCGGACTGGATTATGCCATTTCCTGATCGTCATAGGTCGTCAATGTAAGTGAAAGCGTCATTTCTTTGGGAAATCACGCAGCGATCCTACTCACGTTGGCTCAACTAGATTCGGTATGATACCCTTAGTTTAATCCCATATGAGACTCGGCTCACCTTACAACAAACCGAGAGGGGTTTTCTTTTCGTAGTTGATGGTTTACCTGATGAGATCGATGAATTAGACGTACGAGAACGATTCGCCAAGTATGGAAACATTTTGTGCTTTGGTATGCCTCCTAGTGCAAGATCTCGCCCGAGTGGCAGATACTGCTTCATGTCATTCTCAGAACCCAACGAAGCAGATGCTGCAATACGAGGTATGAATGGTACATTTTGGGGGGACAAGTTTATAGGTGTAAGGCTCGACAATCGACGGCCACAAACTACTGCAACTTCACCCATGAAACTCCTCCCACAATCACTGGCAACACGTATGATTGTCAATAACATAAGTATTAATGCAAGTAGCAAGAAAATATGTATGCCCCCACCCATATCACCCGCCGAAGCATCTGAACGAATGAGAGAGGTTATCGACGAAACCTTCAAGACACAGGCTTCTCTCGTAGAGTACATCGAGAGGCTCGTATCACCACATGCACATCTTAGCGTCGTATTTGCAAAAAACGATGTTAAGGATTATATACTTGAACGTCGGCCATTAAATCCAAACAGGTCGGTCGTTAAAGTATTCTTACAAAAGGAAGAGGTGGATCTTTATAAGGGATATAAGGTGGTCAAGGATCTTTTACCACAGACATTGAATGCATTGCTAGTACACTGGGAGTCATTGAAGAACTCGGTAGTTTGTCTTAGCTTACGAACTTATCGTTATCCGAAAGACAAGGAAGTTGGATCAAAGGGAGAATGCGAAGAATATTGTGGTGAGTCTATGGCTTATTCTCGCAAGTACGTAAATAGCTCAGCCATCCTCATCAATAGCTTGTGATCCAAATGCACCTTGCCATTTAGACGTCATTCATGAAGTGAGAGGCTTCATGTTGATTTCCCACCCTGGATTCACGCTACGATACAAGGCAAAAGCAGCAGATCAAGAAGCCATCACCAACAATCTTCTCGGAGATCTCGAATATGAGACCTTTCCTTAGTACCACAGTCATTCAGATACCCTGTCAGCTTAGTCTCTTAGTATTTAGGTTTGCACATGTTTAGGTACACACCGTGAGTTGAGCTCAAGCAGTCTCGAACCAGCAATACACAATAAGAATGTAGCTTTCACAACCTTGCTGCGCCCCGTTGTTTGTTGTGTACTCGCCTCTCATTATGACTGGTATGGTCGACATGAAGTTTCAACGTCGAAGAAACACATACTTTGCCTTGCTGCACATCATGGCGTGCATGTACATAAGAAACAGAGAGATTCCAATTCGAAGATTTAAGACACTTGCATGTAAGTCTTCAGGCTGCTCTGTCGTTTCGGTTGACCGACATGTCATGAATGGTTTGAAATTACGTGGTCGCAGACTCCCTGTGTCGCTTAATAGTACATCACATGAACTGCAACTTAATAGTCAATAGTAAGTGGATTCTGGGTGCTTTTCGATGCCACCTCCCGCTCAAGTAGGTTCAATATTTTCATTCTTTTCCCCTCTGAGCTAGTTTTCTGAAGGCTTGGATCGCATTCGCGCTTTAATAGACAAAATATTTGACCGAGAAGCTCTTTGCACCCATATTCTACGCCACGTCATATCTCACGCACACATTAGTGGGGTGCTACACAACGACTGCATCCACGAATATATCTTGGAATGTCATGGTACCTGAGTCAAAAAGTACCTTGAAAAGCATATCGTCCACGACACCAACATCATCACCACAATGCAACACGTACTCAAAACCTTAACCCAGCTCTTGGCCGATTGGGAATCAAAGTTGAACCACCTCGTATCAATATCATTACGTACTTACAGACCGCCCGTGGATGAAGAGGTTGGATCAAAAGGATTGTGTGATGACGGATGCCCTCGTGATGAAAGGGCTGATTGTCATCAGTATATGGTACATGAAGTCAAAGGGTATGTGCTTGTATCTCATCTTGGATTTACGATCCGCTTCAAGACCAAAGCGATTGATCAGGAAGTAGTTGCTAAAGCTACTGGTGGAAAACTGCCATATGAGACCTTTCCATAGGAGAATTGAGCTCGTTGTTATTGCAAAGTCTAGCAGTCGCTTATTTATCACAATATACATAAGCAGATAAACATGGTGCAGTTATTGTAGTGACTTTGTAATTCTAGTAGAAAACAGAGAAAATGTATACAAATATGCATGTTTGGTTGGCTGTACGCGAGTAAGAAGCTCTTGTTTCATTTGCTGTTAGCGTTTTTTGTTGTATTCGCGCAATTGATGAGTAAAGTCGAAAAAGACGTAACTAAAGATGAGCCTTTATATTTGAAACATCAGCAATATAGAACAAATAATGCGAACGAAAAAAAATTACTTTTTAATCCATGGCATGGAAGGCATGAGATACTACATTGTAGTAGCGCTAAAAAAATAAAAACCCGTTAACAACACAAAAAAATGGGTGTACAAATTAAAGCAAGAGCTTACCACTCCATCAAATCCTAACGCCAATTTAACAAAGCTTAATGCCATAGCTGGTTCAGCTTCACAAACAGCTTCATAAGTGCTACGCCGTAACATCCACAACACGGCTCCAGTTTCACCAGATACAAGTCTCGATGTTCGAGGTCGTCCAGCAAACATTTCTAATTCTCCAATCATTACTCCTGGAATGCAAGTCCTAGAAAGATACAGATAAACTGGATTAGACAAGAAGCTAAGACGCGAAAGCATGGGCGTCGAAACTGGACAAAGACGGGGGTATATCCTAGATGCATGACATGATGACTTACTCTAGCACTTTGGCTTCTCCTCGATCAACCTCAACATATTCCATCAAGAGTTCTCCAGTTTCAACCACATATATCTCCATGGCCTCATCATTCGGTTCCCACATTATCGTGCCTGGACCAACAGCTGTTCGTTCAAAATGAACTGACAGCCTTTCCAGAGCAATTTGTAAGTTTTCTGGCACTTGAGCGAATGCTTGGATGAGGAGTGCGACGGGATGTATCTCGTTCTCTAGATGTGCTCCCACATGTGGATCAGCTAAACAGAAAAGCTTTCAGTTTCAGACTTTCCAACAAACAAAAACACTTGAAAATCGAGAAATGTATTCTACCTGAGACAACTTCTCCAGCAGCTTCATACACGGCAGCTTGTCGTGGTGATGCATGAGCCAACGAGTAGCTCACGAAAGAGTCAGCTCGTTTGAGGAGATCACCACCAACAGGTATAGGCGAAGCAGCTCGAGGTGCCATCGTATTTGATTCTTGAGCTTTTCGCAATAATTCTCTCCTGGCTCGTTCTGTTCGTTTGTAGTATGCAGCAAGGAGGACGTTTTCACACCATTCTAGAGCTCCATTCAGTGTTCCGAATACGTGAACCCAGTCACCATCATCACGATCAACAACCTTGTTGATGAAAAAATATCTGAGATTCCGCTCTATCATGGCAATAGCACCAGAACTTACTCCGACATTAGCCAATTCCTTTCCTATAGTACCAAGACCACAAAACACTAGATGTGTATTCCTTTCTCGAAGCGTTCTTTTGATTCGAAGGAAGGCCTCCATGGCAGAGTAATCGATATCTGAAATCAATCCAAAGTCTAGGACTACAAATCGTACTTTGGAGCGACCTCTTAGCATTCTTCGTAGATGCTCGTCTAACTACATGCGCCACAGAGAGAAGTTAGACGATTTGGAGGCAAGGAAGAAAAAATATCTGCAGGGATCAAATGATCCTTTTCGAGACTTTTCCACTACCACGTTGAAGCACGATGGCAATTATCACTCATACCTGATTGATAGATCCAAAGAAGATAAATCCTTGCAATTTCAGTACCCGTATTTGCACCCCAACTTTATCCAGGAACTTTTGATGTACATAGAGTCGATGTACAGTAGATCTCAACTCCTTTCCACTGTAATCAGCTCTAATGACTCTCTTGCGTGCATACATTACAGTGAAAAAAATACAAGCAAACAAGATGCCGCTAAAAATTGAAGATTGTTGGAGTTGGTGGTTAGTTGTTAAAAAATGCCAACACAGATATACTGGAGTCGTAAACCAACAAGACTAAACGATACGTACGCAACAATTCCTTCAGTGAAGCCGAATATACCCATAGTAGCAACAATCAATACAATGGCTATCAAATGCATTGAGTTATTCTAATATTATTCTTTTGTTGCTTGAAAACCATACTCGTCAAAAACACAACAACGACTTACTCAGATACTCTAACGGATGTATGCCAACCCAATAACTATCCCACAACGACTCCTTCAGCAAATCCATACCAAGGTGGAAGATGAGACTGCCCACGACTACAGTTGGAACATATCCCACTATTGATCCTCCAGCAATCCATATACCAACAGTCCCAATAACCAGCAAGAATTCGGCAATGCGCGAGTTACCACCACTGCGGTAGAAGAGCACTGAATTTGAGTAGACGAGATAGTTTTGGGTTGTTCCAGCTAATCCCGATAGCAAGTTTGATATGCCGTGGCCAATGAGTTCGCGATTAGTATCTACATCTTGATGAGTCGAGACGGCCAAAGCAGGGACTATGGAGTGATGATCAGTATGATAGTACAAACATAACGTTTCACTTTAGTACGTTCTTTTTTGCACATAAATTGCTCACCATTGATTGGAACATGAAGAACACCAAAGAATGTCAGTGCCAGCATGGTGGGCAATACGTCTAATACAAGAGACGGAGTTGATGTGAGCAAAAACCACACTTTTGCCAGGATTCTACGTGTCTGCAACGTCAAAACATACCAGGCAAGCAGTCCCATCTCGTAGCCCCGAAATCATAATACGTCCAGAAAGTCGAGAAAGATCCTTCTCCACCAGCAGGTAGATCAAACAACCATCCATCATGTCTTAATTTATCTAATGGCACTCCCAGCATGGCCACTATAGCATAAAATGCTAGCGGTACACACATATAAAAAGCAGGCACAAACAATGGGTGATCGAATCGTTTCTGTACAAGTTTGAGACCCATCGCTAGCAAGAATGCAGTCCCCCATAGTTTCAATGCAGAAGGCATACATATTTCTTTGATATATTCCCATGCGAACGAAGGTTTGATGGCGGTTGTGACTTCGACGCCTGTTTGGACGAGAAATAGACCTATTCCACCAATGCATCCTACTAGGATGTGACGAGGGAAGAACTGAATCACTGCGCCAAGTTTGAAGTGACCAAGCAGGAGGAAGGCGAGACCAGTGCATATAGTAGACATGGCATATGCGACCATTATAGTGGCCATGAGCTCATGTTGCTGTCCATCTCCAGGTGCGATTTTGGATTCAATAGTTCGAACCATTATGTGCTGGTGAAACGTGACGAGAAAACTTGTTTGAAAAAGGTATGATTCCGATTTTAGAGCAGCCACCACATACCAGGAATGGCATCACTTCAATCATCATACTTCCGTTCACTCCCTTGAATCCTGATCCACCAAATGTATATACGAGTTGTGCAATTATTGATGATGCCAGAAACATGCTGATACCACTATGCGTGGCAGAAGCAGGCATTCGCATATCAGATGCAGGAAATACAATGATACCATAAGACTATGGAGAGGAATGTGTTTAAAAAAAAATCGTGTGGTTGGTGGCGTGTCAGCCAAAGAAAAGCTAAAAGATTCTGCACGATTCAAAGAATACTTATAAGCCCTTACCATAGCATCCAATACATTAAGCAAGAGACCCAATATCACAGCAGGTATTGATTTCAATCCGGTCACAGATACCGACATGACATCTCGAGGCCCATGACTTGCCAAGAAGGTCAACTGATCGTAAAACCATTCTGTCGGAGTAACATCCGCACTAGCTCTAGATCCAGCACTCAACAACGGAGTACGTTCATCTAATACAGCAGCAGGAATGGTTATTCCTAGTTCACCAGGTGGTCGTCGTAAATCACCATTTTCTACTACTGAAACACCATCCACCGAGCCGTCGTATTTTTCCGTTTCGTCCATATCTGTATAATCACTAGGTACAGATCCTGGTAATGGGAGTAGTGATGTTCGATTCGAAGCTGATGAAGCATCTGCCTGCTGTTGTTGTTGAAATGACCTCGTCAGTTGTTGGATTGCACTGTAATTGGTATATGATGATGGTGTTGTTGTTTGGGGTATATGTACAGTGGCGTTTGAGTGGGGAGTGGTAGTATGCGTAGACTCGGGCGAGAGTGGTTCGTCGTCTTCTGGTGTTAGATCAGCAGGTGTCTCCGTATCTGATCTAAAGAGTATCGGGGGATCGAATGTGTCGATCTTTGGTGGTTTCTGTCGTTGCTGCTGCTGTTGCTGGTATAGCGATATGGATGAGTCATTGTCCAGAGTATCTCTACGGCGATTCTCTATAGTTGATCCATCGATACTTCTTGAAGCACGATGTCGTAGTTCGCTTGGATCAGCTGGAGATCCACCCAAGTCGATATGAGGGCTTCTGTTTGCTCGACTTGAACGTAACAATGAGCTGAATGAATAGATCGAATGAGTGTGTTTTAGCGATAAAGTCTTAAGCTTTGGGGGGGTTTTCACACGAGCTCGTTTTCAAGCCAACAAGGTTTACCTGGACAGCGTAAGCTCCTTGAAAGTATGCGAGAGTGTTTGCTAGTAGTGAAAAGATGTCAGAATGTATAATTGACTGAGCTCGATGTTTGGTCCAGGACGATATCAAGGAGTAATATCCGTTCAAGAACCGACCTCACGAATTTGCGAAGATGTAAGTGTAGCAAGAGTAGCCTCATCTGAATAAACGGTGTAATGATCAGATTTAGATGTATGCTCTCATGGAATGAAGTTCCTAGCCGAGTCTTGAATGTCTTTGCAGCAGCTTTAGACTTGAGTTTACCTTCGAGCAAAGAAACATGATGCGATGGACTGGCGCGACTCGGGAAGCCTCCAATCCTAGTTAAACGGATTCTCCCAGAGCTTCCGCCCGTGTAAGAGCTCGAAGCCGGGGGAACGTTAATCGGTATCGACATGCTTGCGTGCCCGTTTGGAAAACAAAGGTCGAACAAACGACGAGAGAGGACAACCTCCTGTATTGGGAAACTGGACGCGACTGACACGTTGTTACACGTGAATTATTCTATTGACCACGAAATTCACGTATTTTGCTGGTCAGTTTTCGTGATTTCATCAAGCTTACTTCTGAAGTTGATTTACCAAATAGCACATGCCAGCTGTCAAACGATCTACCGGTCGCTCGTTTTGAGATAGAGAACGGAGGCTCGTCATGCTCACCTGCCATTCACCGACCTGCATCTCCCTTCCTCTCTCTGAAATGACGGGAGCCTTGACACAATTCCACACATGAAACCAAATTGCCTCCATTCTCCTCTTAAAGCACATTCGTCGACTCCAATCTCAAGCTCTAAAACCCCCGCAGAAACAAGGTGGTGGATGATGGTCTCTTCCTAACCTCGTCGGAAATATCTTGTTGGATCAAGATTCCCAAACTTTGGTGCAAACATTTACACACACAAGAAAGTTGGCAGGTTAATTTTTCGAGCATCGCAATTGAAACATGGCTCCAGCTACATCGCTTTCCAACCTCAGACGAGTCGAGGTAAAATTCTAGTTCTTCTGAGTTTGTGACGTGGAACTTTGATGCTCACCCATTTCACTCATACAGCACACCCCAAAGCCTGATGTCCAACTCGTCCAATCGATCGAAAACAAGCTACGTGCACGCGTGTTTGCTGCTCGTATACGTGTTTCGCCATTATTCGCAGACTTTGACAAACTGAGATCTGGGTTTGTCACCGTCTCGCAATTTCGACGTGCTTTGGGTGCAATCATGGATCGTGGCGTCGTAAGCCCCTTGATGGAAAGCGAGTACACTGCTCTAGCTCGTTTCTATGATGCGAAGGGTGATGGGACTGTCAAGTGGACTACTTTTGTTGATAGCATTGATAGAGGTAATGTCAGCCGAGAGCTAAAACAAGCTGTATCATGGCATTGGAGTGTCTGTGCTGATATTTTTCTCGATTTTAGTGTTTGGTGCTAAACGTCTGGATCAAACACCTACGCAGGCAATCCCACCAATCGACGAAGGTACATTGAATCGTATACAGCTATTTCAATGGTGCTTCTTTAACGATTAGTAACTCTCATAGTCGTTGGACCTGTTCGACCTCCTCTATCCCCTCATTCTGAGAGTGTCTTGCACGAGATTATTGAACGAATCCGTTCATACTGCAAGCACCATGGATGTAAGAGCAGAGTTCAATGCTTGATGTGCATGTCCGCTTTTTAAAGCATCATGCTTACTCTTTTCGTACCAAACAGGTGACGTAAAGTCCTTCTTCAAAGACTTTGACAAGCACCACAACGGCTACGTAACTTACAATCAAATGCTACGTGGAATCCCACCAAATCTCCTCTCAATGGAAGAAGAAGACCTCCTTATCTCGCAATACAGCGACGAAGTACTAGAAGAATGCAACTATTTCAAACTCGTGAATGATGTAAACCGCAAGACTCGTCGTCCAAGACCAGATCACGCAACCCTTGTTGCCAGACTAGTAGATAATTCCGAACACATCCCTGTCGGAACTGAAGAGATCTTCACCGAAAAACACGATCAGGGCAAAATCACGACGGATGAAGTCGAATCTCAAATCAAGAAGTGCGTTTATCAGGAACGCATTCGGTTGATTGATTTCTTTAGAGATTTTGACCGATTGAATTCGGGGACTGTGACGGAAGCTCAGTTTAGAGCTGGATTAAGACAGAGTGAAATTCCGCTGGAACAGCAGGATATTTCCCCTCTTTTGGGAAGATATGGCGATAGTGAGGGTCGAGTGTGGTATCGAAAGTTCTGCTCATCGATTGAAACAGGTTTGCATCACAACGCTGCTTATTTTCGTATTTTTGTTCCTCTGATAGACTTACATTACTTACGCACATAGTATTCACCAACCCTGATATCGAAAGCAACCCATTGTTGAATGTAACACCACCATCTAGAGACTTCTTACTGAAGGTAGGAGGCAACAGGTTGAAGGAAATGACCTTCTTTGGTGTGAGTCTTCTATCTCTAAATTTTTGTGTTTGTAGGGCTGCAACGAACTCCAACCCGAAGAGGAAGCCCGTTTCCAAGTCATCATCACCCGTTTCCGTGCTCTCGTCCATGAGATGAACATGAATCTCATCCCCTTCTTCAAAGACTTTGACAAGTCTTTGGGATCTGTCGGTCGAGTCACTCGATCCCACTTTTCACGACTCTTGTCCACCATGAGAATGGATGTTTCCGACGAAGATTTGCACATTCTCTTGAAAAAGTATGAGGATCGTGGACGCAACAAGGTTAATTATATGGAGTTTGTTAAGAATGTTGATCCTGATGGTATGTGTATACAGTCAACTTGATGCATTTCGTTGTCTGACCTGGCGTTGCCTTTTTTGCAACTCACTTTTCCTTGTCGCGTTCGTAAAATCCAGCTTACAAGCACCCAAAAGCTCGCCAAATGAAGAGCGGACCATCATACACCTCATTCGTAAAACCTGAAGTCACAGCTGACCAACCAACTTCAGCATTCAAGACCTTGTTTGATCGCGTTCTTCAACAAGTCGCACTCAAACGAATCCGAATCAGTGACTTGTTTAGTGACTTTGATAAATTACGATCGGGCTCCATTCCACGAGACGAATTCATTCGAGGAGTGAATTCTTTGGCATTGGACTTCACCATGGATGAATACGAGTCTATTGCTGATCACTATGTCGATGATACACGAGTTCGTAGTTGTCGCTGGAAGAAATTTGAAGAGGATGTTGATTTAGGTATGTTGACCTTTGCAATAGCAATCCTACCCCCTTGTAGCAGCTCTTTTAGTCGGTTGCCTCACCGGCTTATTCTCTAGAATTTGGAGATAGAGATTTAGAATCTCGACCAACAGCCCCTCCCAAACACACCACAGTTTCAACCAATTCTGGCATCACAAAGGCCAACCTGACAGACGATGAAGAAAAGATGCTTCACAAGATCTTGGAACAAATGGGATCTCACTTGCAATTAAGAGGTGGTTTGTCTCTACGAACATTCAGAGATTTCGATAAGGTAAAGCCAAAAACAACCATACATTCAACGCAAAGCCACAATATTTTTGCAACCCTTGCGAGACTGAATCGCGATGCTCTGTTCCTAACACAATCTCTCTTTTGTCTCTAATAGCTATGCACAGGCTTCGTATCCCACACACAATTCCGTCAAGTGCTATCTGGACTAAAGATCAACTTGACCGAAGACGAGTACAATGTGCTATGCAAGAAATGGATGGGAGAGGCTGATAACAAGGAACGAGTTTGGTATGTTGGGTTTGCCAACGAGCTATTAAAGAACGAAAGGGCATAAAGAGCGAACCTCAAGTCAGCCACACCCAGCACAAAATATGTGTTGTTTTGTAAACTCGACGAAAAATAGCAATTCAAATTCTCAAAAGTTCGATTATACTGTGTGCAAGGTTGCCTTATATTCCTGTGTAGGCTGACGGACGGTACATGGATTTATGAGACAGTTTCAACTCTTTCAAGTCTTGCGTTCCGCGTGTTTGGTCAAGCTCTATCCCTTGCACTTCACAACATCTTTTTCACCAGGAGTTGAGGCCATTACTTATAACAACAGGATCCTTGCAAGGTCTAGATCATTCAAGGCAAGTTTCGAAACCAATTTACCTCATTCGCGTAAGTAATATTTTCTTTGCTATGAACTTCCAACCAAAAAAATCCAGAACTTATTGTAGGAGCACAATGTCGCTCCGCAGTGATTTGATTCCTTTCAACATATAATAGCCTCTAGGCGATGACTTTAAAAGCCGAAAGATGAAGCGGAAACTCGGATGTTGCGAAGATTGGAGAATGTTCTTCTCACAATATCAACGTGCCTTAGACGTAATCATGGAACGTGGTGTCGTTGGCCCCACAGATGGAAAGCACGTACTCTGCCATTGCTCGTGTTTATGATGCAAAGAAGATGAGGCCGTCAAATGTACGGCCTTTGTTGACAGTGGTGATAGAGGCAAGAAAAACAAGCAAAAGAAGGGAAATACGTAAAGAATGGCTTTATTGAGCTGTTCTCGATACCTAGAATTTGGTGCTATACGACTGGATTAGACTCCTACTTTACCACTTAACAGAGGGAAAGTAAACCTTATCTCTGTTATTGAAGTGTAGCCTTTTTCATCCTAAATGTCTCTCATAGTCGCTAGCTCTGTTCGACCCCCTCTCTCTCCTCATTCGGAGAGTCTCTTGCACGAGATCATGAACGAATTCGCTCACAGACACTATGAATGTAAGAGCAAATCTCATACCTGGATGGTTGGGGCTCTTTTTCGCTGTATCTTAACGCTTTTGCGCCCAAACAGTGTCCACCAATCTCAGCTTTTCCAAGACTCATCTGGCAGACGGTGCTACCTGGCATCTTGAACGGATTGGATTGCACGTGCGATCACGAGGTGGTTTTCATTCAGAGATTTCGATAAGGTAATAGAGGGCTCCATTCGTCACTATACTATGACCACCGACGACTCTAATATTTGCTTTGTCCAGGTTTTGCACAAGACCAGCAATGGACAGGCTTCGGGACTCTCGGTAATCCTGTACCATAAGCTCTTTTATGTTGATCGTTGCTGTGGGTGGTGCTACTCTGTAGTATGTATCTAAGGGTTTGTGATCGGTAAACACTCGATCAGCATTTTCTCTAGTCAGAAGCCTTAAATTAGCAGTCCCACGATGACGAGCTAGTGTGGTTAACGCCTGCTCAGGGACAAACGACTTGGGAGGCACTGCTGGTCGTGGTGTTGCCAACACCGGACTAGTATGGGGTTGGTGGCGGTTGAGTTGATGGTGCTACGACAGCCAGCTGTTCTGTTTTCTATCTGTGTGGGATCCGTCCGATGAATATGGCTCTTTGCGATGGTTCCAGACGAGTATGATGGGGTGGGCAATGGGATGTGGTTGTTACTGGTGTTATTACCGCTATTATTGCCATTATTACTACCATGAGTATTGTATGGTGGCAGTAGTGACGATTCTGGGGCTTCTGCGATGTTTGATTTTGGCCAAGTCTTTGGCCTCGAAACGGTTCAAGAGACGCAAGAATCCATTTTATTGAGCTGTTATCAGAGCACTATCGCAAGACTGATGGACCAAACACAGTGCTATACCATCTATAATCTTTCCGTAGTCGACTTCTTTGACTGATAACGGAAAGAGACGACCAACTACATGTGAGAATGAGCTGATGTCGGACAGCGTTGGGCTTGTAAAGATACCCGTAAAGTCGGCTGCTACTTTGCTACTATTTACTGCCATCGTCTATGCTTGATTCTTTGAAATGCGCTTTGAAAAGACTTGGAAATACGTTGTCAAGCACGAAACGAAAGGAAAATGAAAAAAAGACACCCAATATTGGATGAAGCCGTAAGCAAACAAGGCCACAGATGCCAACCCTAAACCTATGTGTGCTAGACACAACCATTATGACGTCTTTTTACGAAGTGGAGTGCTAGACCTGATCTTTTACACGTTTCCAAACACACACCCACAAACCTTTGAAAAAGTAGTGAATCGATGCCCAAATGAAGCCTTATCAACTAAAGAGGAGTCTTATAATATTTCTCTAGTTGAAAAACTCGTAACAAGCAATGGCTTCACACTGCCCCCGCACTGCCACTCGACCTGTTCATTCTGCCAGGTTCGTGACGAGACACAGAGCCAACACGAGCTTCTACTATACCTAGACGTAACTTCAGCTCTCTAGATTGTTACGATGGTCTAAACTCACTGTTTCTTGTGGTTCAAAGATCGAAAAGCATTATTTCTCATCACTGATAAGAGCTGCACTTGATCCTCCTCGCCACTACAACATTTTCACAGTCAGCTTGTTAGCCTTAGATACATGCTGATGCTTAATGCGTCGGCAAGTGAAGGAATGTTGATGACTTGAGCCAAAGTCGTAAGTAACTGATTTGACCGTCAATACCAAAAACACTAATCTCGACATTCATATCTTTACCAATTGCGCAGTTGCTGCAATCTTCCTTCTTTCAAAGTCACCTTCCGAGGATAGTGTCAAAACTTTGAGTGAGACCCGTTAAACCTCCGTTCATAACAAGGAGGATTTCGAGACATTGTCAACCACGGTCAATTGGATCTTGCCGGGAAGAAAGCATGATTCTGATAGAAATCATTATTATTATCAACCCTAATAGGACTAGTTTAAAGCAGTTATTTATCATATCTGATGTCAAACAATTTTGATCAGCAGAAAAAGAAGATGCCGCCTGCAGTAGGCATACGGTAGTGTAGTAATGAAATGTTCAAATGTGGCAAAAGTTGACAACTACGTACTGGTAAAATTCCTCAGTAGAAACTGTGCGGATTTCTGACGAGGACGCAAACTACAACTGACGAGAAAAGGAGTTTAGGAAGAAGGGGATCTAAAGACATCTTTGCTGTCGAATTCTTATATGCTATGAGGGTATGTGATTTCTAGTGCGAACAGTCAATTTTCTGCTGAATGTTTTGAGCACTTACTTGGATGAACTAAAGTCGAGGTTCATTCCACGAGAATTCGGGTACTCTAACGTTTAATTCGTACTAGAAGTCACTATGGAAGAGTACGAGGCTGTTGTTTACCATTACTTTGATGATACACAAATCCGTGGTTTTCGACGGAAGAAGTTTGACGGTGGTGTTGGTTTGGGCACCTTGGCCTCTGGATTGACAATTCACTCCTGATTTTTGTGCCGTTTACCTGTTATTCTCGTTATCTGCGCACATCTCTTACAATTCGGAGACAGGGATCAAGAATCTCGACCAACAACCTCTCCGAAAGAGTCTACAGTTCCGCCAATTCCCCAATCATCACAACCAACTTAAATGCTATGGATTGACTCTCTGCCCATTCAGAGATTTCGACAAGGTACCCGACTGACTGCCGTTTGCTGTTTCCCATACCTGTTTTTTGCCCATTGTCTGAGACGAGTATCGTGGGACACCATCTCTCTCTAGTTCAATTGCTGTGCAAAGGCTTGTATCCCGCACACAAGAAAGTGCTCTCCGGACTGAAGTCGGCCATAGAAGTCGATCACACCAGTACAAACCAACACATTTTGTAAACCCCAAACGAAATATAACAACTGGCATTTGCGTAGTTCGATTGTGCTATATACCAAGGCTTTCCATTCTTGTGCACTATTTACAGTATGCATTTTTACAGTACTTTGCCTTCATAACTCATAGTAGCTCCTATTTACCAAATCCAATCCCCGTTTTCCCAAACGTCACAGGCTTGATGGGCTCAACGACTCCTTGATTGTCTCTTCCCAAACCTTTACCCTCTTGCCACCCCATCTTTTGCATCATCCGACTAGCTGTCGGAGCTACGACAGGCATACTCGTGCTAGCGACCTCTGGCTCACTACGTCTTACAGATTTTGGGATATCCGATGCAGACGTAACAATTCCACTATCAGGTAATGAAAAAGGCTTGTCATCCATCCCACGATCTCGCTCACGACGAATCGCAGCTCTATCTCTATACTGTTGTGAATCAGTAGTCGAATTGGCCTTTTTCTTCTTTTTATCGGTACCCAAAAGAGTGGATTTGAGACGGTCGAGCTCTTCGTGATGTTTCCGTTTCCGCTCTTGTTTTGTTTGTTCTGATGCTGTCAGTGACGTGTCTATAAGTGCGGCTATTGTTGATGTTGCTGGCGTTATAGTGGCGGTGTGCCGAGTTTCAAGTATTTTAGTGGCAGACGTTACGGCACATTGATTGCAACTCCATTTCGCATGTATGTGTACTTGGAGTGTTGTTGTGTCTGCGATGTCGATGAGATCACCGTGTCTCAATACCACAGGCTGAGAAGCTACCTGTTATAATACCAGAGAAAGAAGATATAGTCAGAATTGGTCATCAATATGATAGGCCTTTTCCCTGCGTTCTTATGCTTTTGCACTGTACTTTGGATGGCGACAGCCTCGTCGCATTCACAAAAGTTCCATGTTGACTGCCGTTATCTACTATAAAGAAGGCTTCCTCCATATCCGGATTATCGACATATATAGTGGCATGGAATCTCGAGCAGCTCATATCAGCAATCCGTAGCCGTTGCTGCGTAACATCTTTATCACGTCCAATAGTCATACCAGACCCATCTACTAGAGCAATAGAATCTACTTCCAATATGCTCGATTTGACAACCACTAGTTTCATGGATAGATCAGATTCTGGGATGGCCGCTGTGGGTGGTGCTTCCTGTTCATATTGCTGCCAGACGTTACTACTTTTCTTACTATCAGGATCGTATTCATATTCATTTGAATATGGATATGACGTAGGAGCAGAATCGTCCTCGTCAATCTCTCCTTCCTCACGATCAGCAGGAGCAGCTGGTGTGTCTGGATCTGATGTTGGGAAAAAGTAGCCCTTTTCACGATTCCAATGCCACCCGGACGCGACATGGATATATGTATCAGTATCCGGATCATGTTTCCATTCATCTAAGTCCTGCACTCCGTGTCTTTGATCCAGCTCTCCTCGATCGGTTTCCAAAACATCGTTTTCCCCAGGAGTTGAGGCCATCCCTATATAAGAAAGAGAGACTCGCAATGTCTAGACCATTCAAAGTACGTGGCAATCCAACAATTTATCGATGCGAGTTAGCAACTCTTTCCTATGTGCTGTGGATGAACAAAGAAATCACAATTTGAATTTGACCATGAATGAAGCTCAGTACTAATATCCCATCACTATATTCAGCCACTAGAGAAGAAGACTCCAAAGCAAAAGCAAAAAGAGGAGGAAGAAGCTCGGAGATTGGTGGGCATTCAAGCATCTCGATTCCAACATTTGAGCATTGGGCTATCAAACATTGGCACCAAACAAATATGAAGACGGTCAAACTCATCAAAATTGTATTTAAAATATTAGAGAGATGAAGAAGAGCTCGGACAAGTGTACTCTGAATTCGTCGCTACTTTTGATACTTCAAAGACAGGACCCAAGACTTGGGTGAAAGGAAGCACAATCCAACCAACTCCCTTATATCAACCTGAAGATGTTCATCAAATGGCTACTGCTCCTCCTGCTCCAAAGACTCTATATCGACCACAACAACGATTCGTCTCGGCTGCTTCAAATATTGTCGAGCCTGCAAAAGAACAAGTAGTCTATTAAATATTTGCTACAAAGAATCATACGTGATTAGTGGGTCTCACCTATTTGCTGCTGCTTTTGGGAACAGGTTGAGGAAAAGACAATGGATGCTCCTCGCTTGGGTAGAAAACGAGATCTTGATACCTTTCTTGAAGAGCTGAAGAAGGAACAAGAAGATAGGGATGTTAGATTACGACATAAGCATGCTCGACTGTCTGGAGCTGGTAATGTCTATAAGCAAACATATGGTCAATGAACATGATGACTCATCCGCGATCTCCTTCTTTTGTTGTAATAGATGCACCTATGGCCCTGTATGCAGGTGAGACAAGTCAAAAATCATACTGGACTCGTACTAACTATCTCTTCCTTAGCATTCGAAGACGGTCAAGGTTCGCACGATACAGGAGACCCGCATACGACAAATTTATACATTGGTAATATCAACCCAATCACGACCGAAGAAGATCTATGTAAACTCTTTGCTGTGTATGGACCGATCGCTTCCATCAAAATCATGCATCCACGAACACAAGTGGAGATTGATCGTGGTCGAAATACTGGATTTGTGTCATTCATGACTCGACAAGACGCTGCTACAGCATTGAAGGAATGTGACGGGAGAGAAGTGTCTGGCTTTCAAATCAAATTGGGGTGGGGTAAACCTATACCGTTGCCTGCACAGCCTATTTATGGTACGGACCGTCCATTCGAAACTGTGCTGTTTTGCTGGTACTTACCTTGCACAATTAGTTCACGGAAAGACAACAGGAACCACAATGAAAACAGGATTACCATTCAATGCCCAGCTACCATCAGCATCAAAAGTATTCGCATCGGGAACGACAATGACCCAAAACAAACGTCCCGAAGTCAGAGTCTCTCGCCCCAATGATGATGAGATTGTTATGCTTATCCATCGTATGGTTGAACGAGTGATTAAACATGGTCCCATGTTTGAAGCCATGATTATGGATCGGGAATTGCAAAATCCAAAGTTTGCATTCTTGTTTCAGAATGATGTGAGTGTGAAAGTTGCACAAAACGTAATCGTCTCCAGTACTAAGTCTTTTATTTTGGGTTGTTAGAGCGCAGAGCATATATACTATCGCTGGAGACTCTATTCCATACTTCAAGGAGATGCCAAGAACGTGTGGCCAACCGAGACCTTCCAAATGTTTGATGAAGGGCCTGTTTGGACACCTCCTGAGATTCCCTTTGATGATTCGGTAAGGCATGATACAAAAGAGCAGGATCCCGTTTTCAGACTTTAGGCATTTGCCGACCAGGACGCGAAAAAAGACCAAGAAATAACCGCTGTATGTTGACAAACCGCTCACGTCATCAACCATTTGCTTATAGGCTATCGACTTGGATGATTTGTCTGATGAATCAGATGCTTCAGAGGGTCGCGATGGTGTCAAAAGACGTAAACCCGTCCCAGGCATAGCCAAGGGAACACTATCACGCACCCATAGAGTCCGTCTAGAAGCTCATTTACGTCGGCTTACATTCGAACGAGGCACGATAGCTAGAGCCATGGTGTTTTGTATAGATCATGCAGATGCAGCAGATGAGATTGCCGATATAATAGTAAGCTCTCTTGTCATCCCAGCCACACCAGTCTTCCCAAACAAGATTGCTCGACTATATCTCGTATCGGATGTCTTACATAATTCAGGAACCCCATTACCGAATGTATGGAAGTTTAGAAATGCATTCGAGACTCGCCTAGCACCCGTATTTGAGCATCTAGCTAGTGTTTGGCAAACCATATCGGCACGGTTACGAGCTGAACAGATGCGTCGAGCCGTTATAAGTATCTTGGGAGTATGGGAAACCTGGCTTATATTCTCTAGTGACTATATACAGAGTCTAAAGGCCAAATTCAGTGAATCTAGTAGCAAAGCTTCCGTTGAAGACAGTCTTGCTGAGAGACTTCAACAGCAACGGGAATCTCATACTGGTGCTTATGGATTGGATGAGAGTGTTGATGATTATGGTGTGCTTGGTGGTAGTAAACAGCCTGCGATCTCTCATGCTTACGGTGCATTTGCTCCTGTTGAGGGTGGAGATGATGAGGATGTTGATGGTATTCCGATGGATATGGCTAGCGGTACCAATACGTCGGGTGCTCTCAATAACTTTAAGCCTGTTGGAGAGGACGATGATGATGAGGATGTTGATGGAGTGCCGTTTGTTGCGATCAAATGAACCAATAAGGGTTGTTAAGATGATATGTTTACATAAGCTTAATAGTATAAATGTAAACACTATATTAATTATATTAAAACGTGTTTTGCGTGTAATGGGGAGCGGATGGTGACGCGTAACTCACGTCATGGCGGAGGTGCCTGTTTCTTGTTTCTCAAAAGTCAAAACCCCAACGACGTCCTCATGGGCTGACAGAGAAAAAGAGGCTCGGTGGACAGTCTAAGGAGAGCCGAATGTTATTTTAGCAAAAGTAAGGTTTTCCAGGTTTGTCCTTTGTTGCCAGTTTATTGATGCTTATGGGCATCACACTTTGTTTTTGAAAAAGTTGAGCTTATCAAGCCAAAGATTATTATAGAATAGAAAAACATGGCACAAAACTCCCAACAGATGCCGTTATCGTCCACGCTGACACTGGCTTTAGCACAACAAAGAGCAGCTGCATTAAGCCAGCAAAATCCAAGTCAACCAAACATCGCCAACAGCATGCTAACAACACTGACGAATATGAGCAATAACAGCAATAACAATGCAATGCCAAATGGGTTGTCGTCAATGCTGGCATCACTGCAAAATACACAAGCAACAGCTGCAAGCAACATAAGTCCCGAAGTCGTTATGGCATTCATGCAACAAAACCCTGGATTTAATAACTATGTACAGCAGTATCTACCAGGCCTTGCTGCTGGTGGTGCTCCTCCTCCTCCTCAACAACAGCAACCATACCTCTCAGGTATGGCAACACCACCACTCGCAGGAATACGAACTCGCGAAGTAATTGAAAAAGAGCTTGTAAACACGATGACACGCATGTCTGACGTACAAACAACCAACAAAGTCTTAACCGTACGAAAAAACCAACTCGAAGCGGAAATGGCAACAATCAGTGGTAATTTAAGTCATTTGGACGGTGAACAAGAACAATTAGAAAAGCAATTACAATCGTTAAGAAACCTGAAAGCAAACCTTGAAACCGAGTTAATGAGTTACAACGGAAACAACAATAACAGCGGTAATAGCAATAATAATAATCCCATGCTAAAAGCCGAATACGACCCCAGTATAATGAACAATGGCAACAATAACGCCAGTCGAGATCCACGAACATACTCTGGTAACGGCCAACCAATGACACCCAACAATAACTCGGCAATGTCAACGCCAAAGACACTGATACCGTTTAATTACCTAAGTGGAATAGGAGGACAACCGCAGCAACCAGGTTTACAGCAGCAGCAACAGACACTACGACAAGTAACACCACTACATCAAGCACTAGACAGTGTACACGTACAAATCCCAAATGAGCGTATTTGTAGCTTGTATAACGAATCGTCGTGTGATGGTTCGTGCAGCTTGATCCATGCATGCTCGTACTGCAAGTCTGTAGGACATTCCTTTTCGCCTTGTAAAAAACCAAATATTTGGTTCGTATACGTTTATTGTTTGTTCAAAGCTCGCAATACCAAGACCGGCCTGTACTGATTTGCCTTTTCTTTGGTTAGTATGAACTTTCAACGTGATTCTTGTACCATTCGAGTTTGTGATTTCCTTCATGTTTGTCTGTTTTGTCAGGTATGCTGTGGGCACTCGTCTTTGAAGTTGGGAGGTTGAAAGGCTGGAATGAAAAGCTTCCTTTTCGATGACAACTCACTTCTCACTTCTGGCTTATATAGGCCGGCATTCACGGTCTTATGGAATGTCCTCGATACAAATCAAAGTATGGACACTATGTAGACGGTAAACTCGACTCCCATAAATGGTATGAGTGTGCTTATAGAGTGACGCATGATCTTTGAGGATTAGGGGACTGAAGTCATAATATTTTGTTGCAGGTGTTTATATTATCAAGCAACTGGCAGTTGCGAACGATCTTCTTGCACAGTTAGTCACAAATGCATGACCTGCGGCGGCAGTCATCCAGCAAAAGACTGTGAGTGCTTTGGTATCAGCTCCGCATCTCCATTGTATAATTAAATGAATTAACGTGCTGATATCTCTAGGTGCCTTGAACGCCGCAGTGTGGTTGAACCGCACATTCCCAATTAATGGGCGTTACCAAACCAAAGATAGTAAAGGAGATTATGAACGTCGTGATACTGATCGTGTTGAACGTGATTATGATCGTCGAGACGATGATGATTATCCAAAGGAGAGTCGTAGTAAAGATACTGGTATAGGTCGTAGTGAACAGTAAGTCCTCGTTTGTGTCTCTTTACATTTGATGTCCAAAAAACACCAGTCCATCATAGTTGAGCAATTGACTTTTAGTGAGGATCGATGGCTTCATGACAAGCATCGTGATGCAGATGTCCCACCAGTCTCTCGAAAAAGGGCTCAAGATTACGAGGACGAAGACGAGCATTCTCATGCTGCCAAACGTGACCGGGGAGGAAATATTCATGTTCCTGTAGTTGCATGCCGTTTGTTTCACGAAAATGGCCATTGTCGCTTTGGAGCTAATTGCTGGTTTAAACATTGAGGTGTTTACAAAAAGCACAAAGTCGCAAACAAACAGAAATTAGGAAGAAATGGCAACAAGGAAATGTAATGGAGTTAAAGTTCAGTTTATAGATGAAAGGAATGTAGATCTCTTGAAATAAAAGCGAGTTGTAAGTAGGCATTTATAGACTTGTAGAAGTAACTTAGAAGTCTTAAAAGTATGTAAAAACGCGTCCCACATTGCATAGCTAGTTGCCTCAAGATTTGTAGCGAAATGCACGCTTTGTGCGGAAATCCAAAAGAAAATCACGTCGGCAATCAACAATTCGCTTGTAGCAAAATGGGGAAGACCAGGAACAATTACGGAAATTGTATTATATTTATGAGACAAGTGAGTACATCATGGACGCCTAGAGCGAACGGTTCATGACATAGCTCGGCTTCCAATGAATCGAATGACCAACAATCGCAGTCACTTCGCATGATTTTTGTGATGGAGGACGGAGAAGCATTATTCACCATCTTATATGAATTTTAAGCTCTCTTTCACCGTTCTCTACATGTACACGTTTCCTGTGCTGTGGCCCAGTCAATTCGAACATTTACCAACAATTTGAGTTATAGGAGCTTTTAAGTCAATTATTGAATCATATGTACAATGGACTATCGATCATCCATGGTAAGATCAGTAGCTAAACACTTCAGAACGATGAAAATGTGAATGGGATCAATCACGCCGCTATCATCAAATATAACCAACTGATCAACTCACATATAGGACAATATACTCGAAGCAGACCCATTCCTGTCAGTCTTTGCATCGCATCATCCCATAACACGAGCATTATCACCAGTAACTACCAACGACTCTGCAGAAATGGTACTCGCACACGCTACACCTGCTCGACCACGTATCTATCACTATGACGAAACGGTTGGCTTGTATGAGTACGCTCCCAACTCATCCGAAACGATTTCGCCATCGAGACCACCGCCACCTGCGCCAGTGAAAATCAAGCTTAAAAGGTCATCGCAAACAACAACAGTCTGCATCGTAGAACCACCCATTGCGGGACTTGATCTCGCATTGGCAGACGATGTAGTAGACTGGGAACGTATTGATGTCTTGAACTCTCGGCCCCGCCCTGGGTTTGATGTAGCTTGGCCAGCAGAACGTAAATTAGTTGTACCACAAATTATTGTTACTACAACTACTACAACTCGAATGATCACGATTGATGCACCATCATCATCAACTGCTATTGCTGCACCATCACCAGAACGTAGATTGGTAGTACCACAAACTATCATTACTACTGCTGCCACGATTGATGAAGCATCGTCAGCTGTCACGATTGATACACCACCATCATCAGTTACGAATGAAACACCATCGTTATCAGCTACGGTTGACGCACCATCATCTTCAGCCACGACTCACGCACCATCGTCAACAGTCACGATTAAAGCACCACCATCATCAGCCACAATTGAGGCCCCATTATCGACAGTCACAGCGGAAGCTGCGATTGAAGCACCATCATCAGCTACAACGATAAAGGTCGAAGCAGAACAACAACAACCACGAAAGATGAGAATAACACGATCAATAGAACTTCGTCTTAAGTCTCTCAAAACTGCAGATGGCGAGCCCATCGACAATACTAGTATACTAGTGAAATCAATCAGGAATGATACTGGGGTGGCCGATAAAGAGATCAAAATGTCGCTGGTAAAATACTGGGCGTCCAAATATGACAAGGACAAATATGCAAAGGGTGCTGCAGAGCTCATTACTACTCTGTCTGCTGAAATTGATCCCGATGAAACCGACTCTGAAGCTGATGACGATGGATCAAAGCAACCACCAGCTACAAAGAAGAAGCCTCAAAGAGGTGTACGAAGAAAGTCTAAAAAAACGAATGAAAGGGAGCACTCGTAGTATCACAAAGAAATATTCATCATATGCCCATAGATCCTATATATAGTAGCCTGTATTATTTTCTCTTAAATTTGCCTCACTTTGTCTTCGCATATCTTAATATACGACTCAATACCTTGTACATCTGACGCTTGAACCCATTAGATCCATGAAGACAACGCGTAACCGGTGCTTTGATTCACAGAAATGTGCCGTTTGATCTCAATGCAACTACGGACTGGCATTTCGAACTTCTGTCTCTACATCGCAGCAGAGCATAACAACCTCTCGACGCTCTGACCGGTATGTCACATGTTTGCGCTTTGATTTTGTTGACTGACGAGTTCGCCATACGCTGAATTTCATTTAAGTGATTCTCGATGAGTACCTGACAGCCTGTGCACCGTGATGATGCGGGAGCATTGCCAATTGTTCGCAAGAGGGCTCGAGATTACGATGATGAAGAAACGGAACGTCCACATGGAAAGTATTTTCAGCCTGATTCTGAAAAACTCTGTTTTTTGTACCATCGCGACGGTTATTGCACTTATGGCAATTATGGCAAAAAATGTATTGAAAAAAGTTAGTCAGTTGGTAAAGAAATTTTGTAGATCTTCATTTTATCATAAGCTCATTGAATGCATCATATTTTCAAGCAGTCATTTCTTTTACTTGTGTACACGGTCCATCTCTCACCATCACTTAGTACACAAATTGTTCCGCTCAATCAAGAAACAAAGTTATAAAACAGGTGCTCGATTTCATAGCAGCTCGATCGTAATGGATTCTCATGATAAGCGTACCATGGAGAAGGTGCGACCGCTTATTATCTACACGTTGTTTTTCTGCTTGCAAATCGACCCTGACACCTTGCATCTTGTGTTAGAGAGTAAACGCTATATCCGCACTACTAGACCGTGCTAGACTAGATTGGGCCGAGCAGCGAAAGGAGGCTATAGCTCAACATTCTAAACATGCACGAGAACGACGAGCGAAATTGGAACGTGCCGGTCGTAAATTGTTGGAATTGAAGGCTGCACAAGCTCAAGTAAAGGTGAGGCAAAGGAAGGATACTCTATAGCGACATATAATGTCAAATTCCACAACCACTATTTGAACGCTTAATTAGGTTGAGAAGGCGCAACCATCACCAATTCCACCTTCCTTTTTCGAATCTCTACCTAAAACGAAATTCTACCTGGAGGAGGTTGAAAGGACGCAAAAAAGGAGAAATACAAAACGAACATGGAATAGTGGGATTCCACCTCATCATCAGCTTGCAAGTGTGCAGCATGATATGTCGTCAGCGGAAGCAAATGCTGATGATCATGTTATTGTGGATCCGATATTGGCAGAGGCTGAAAAGAAGAAGAAATTATTGGATAGGAGGACGTTCTTTCGGGATGTTAAGCCCCGGGGAGACAAGGGATTTGTACGTTATGAGGAAACGTTGGTTTGATTCTTTGTCTAGTTTTGTCAGACTTAGACTCTCTTTTATTAGGAAATGCCTGATCTTGGAGCACTGAGTATGCCTATCGGGAGCTCTGTTTTCGCTACACCTAGAGATTATCATCTTGCCGATTTGGTAGTTAGTCCTGTTTTTCTTGTTTTCTTTTTGCCCTCTGCTAACATTCTCAAGCAATTGTAGAAAAAGACCAAAAGCAAGAAACGACAACTAGCCAGCATACACGACAAGATATACCAACGCCGAGCATCAGGCACGCGAGCACTATACAACAGCCATTTCGCAAACCACATCTATGCTCACATACCTGGTGCTGAGGCGGAAGTACCCAGTTTCGATACTAGGAGTACGACTACTCCATATACCGATCCATCATCACCGCAATTACTAGCTCCTCCTTCCGCTAATTTCCCACAACAACTCGGTACACAACACCAAGACCACGAGTCAACTTTGAGTGTGTCACCAAACCAACATATCGAGCAAAGACCATCACCTGAACTGCTAGAACGTATACGCAACAATTCGAGAAGGCCTCAAACACGACCGTCTAGTCACGCTGAAGATGTTGTTGCGATAACCGGGGTTAAGGGCACAACGAGAGAAGTTGTTGGGATTAATCGCAAGACCAAAAGTTCGATACTGTTTACACCTGGATCTGCATCACGAAGGGCGAGTTTGGGGTCGTATAGGAGGAAGTTCGTTGAGGAGGATGAAGAGCAAGATGTCAGTAGTAGTGATGGATCCGATGATGCTGAGGACGAATCGGAGGCGGTACAGATACAGGTTACTGAGACTGCTAATTATGGAATGGAGAGTCCTATACATCCAGCGCCACCACCTCAAAAGACGAAAACGGAGTCCACGTTAGGAGTATCGTTAAGGGATGTCGTCCTTTACTCACGGATGAGTCGGCATGCTTCAGCTGCAAACAACCAGGAGGCCAGCGCCGTACCAGCAACAAGGCTAGTGGAACGTAGATCATTACATGACATCGAGTCTGAAAGTGGGAGTGTTTCGTCTGCATCAGTGTATGAGCAGGAAGAAGAAGACGATGATGAATCTCAGCAAGAGGAGTCAGAACAAGAGGAGATTGATATCCTGCCAGTAACGGATCACGTAATAGTTCCATTAACGATGACAGAACTAGTCGAAACTAGACAAGTAGTGGTTGCTGAACCGAAACGAATCATCAAGACGAAATGGATTCCAGATGAAACAATAGCTTTATAGTAGACATGTTAAAATAAAAGTTCCATAGACAGTCAAGTATAAGTTGATTGCAGCGTGATACTAAATCCAGCTCATCACAGCCCCCTCACAAAGCACAAAATGCAATTTCAAGTTCCGAGTGTTCAACTCCTGGGTGGTTTAAGACAGTTTTCACTTATAGAGTACGTCACATCCGGATCAAAGGAGCCCTGCATATGCATATATAGCCATACTCTACCGCACAATTGACCTATTGATTCATTCACAATGCTTCGTTATGCCGCTATTCTCGTCATCGTCATTGGAGCTTTCTTGGTGTCGATGACCATGGGTGCAACATGTCCAGTGACTTCGTACTCTGCATCTGTCGATTACTTTCCATCTAAATACAATAGTAAGTTGTATTACTCTGAGGCTGTATAGCCTGTTTTTGCCGACATGAAGTCATTAACACAAAAAAAAACGCAACCACATTGCATCTGTAGTTACATATGCTTCGTTCTCGGTTGGGTATCAAAAGTCTTATGTGGTGAGCTTTACATTCATTCCATTTGCCGAACTGGTTGCTTTGGATACGCATTCGGAACGAATGAATTAACGCGATAACGTTTATGTAGGTACTTACAGACAGACTCGCTGCCAACCAATATGTCTTATATTTGTGCAATACCCCGATACCATCTTCACCGGCATTTCAATCGAATGCTGTCTTCGTACAAATCCCTGTTGCTACTGTTGGTGTAGTCGACAATGGTATATTGGCCTTCTTAGAGGTATGGACAGTTCCACATCCTCCTTTTTTTGCCAGTAACAGTCTATTACGGTCAATTAAAAAAGAGACTTACACACTGTACTATAGCGCTTGGAAGAAAACTCGAGCATCGCATACATTGCCAACCCAGCATACGTAACATCCCCATGCCTAACAGCCTCAATCCAAGCAGGCACCATAAAGCAGCTAACGAGCAGTGCAACACCCGACGTCATATTCACATCCTCAACATCGTCAACAACGCCAATAACAACCTCATCACCAATCATAATAACATCCTACATGTCTGAAACATCCCCCCTCGCACGAGCAGAGTGGATTAAGTTCCTCTCGACCTTCTACTACGAAGATGCTCTCGGCGGATCCGTATTCGTAAACATGGCAAACATGTATACATGCCACCAGACAAACCGACAACAGCAATTCGCAGTTGGAGCAGCTAAACTCCTGTGGTTACGCTCTGATGCATCGGGATACACGGATCCAGACTTCTTGTACAAGCAGCAGCTTGTTAACGATGCTGGTGCATCCATGCTTGGATTGCCGACACCCAGTAACAGTAACAGTGCACTGGTTGAGGCGATGACACAGGCACAAGTGTTTATTGATGATACGGGGATACCGTTGACGACGGAGCAGCAGGGTGATCCATCGACGTATTACATGTCGAATTTTTATACGAGTTATGGACTTGTCGCTGGGAGTGCTACGACTGCTGCATATCCGTTTTTGCAGAATAAGCAGGTGTGGAGACCCGATCGGGTTGTTAGTAGTGATGGGGAGTTTGGTGAGTTTTGTCATAACTTGTGCTACTTTTTGGCCTTTTTTGGCATTGAATTTAGAAAGGCAAAAAAAACTAGTCGTAACCTCTCCAATTCCATATTTCCATAAAGATTGGCCTACAGCATACGCAGCATACCCAGAAGTAGCCATTGAAGATCTCATCCACATACTGGCTACGACATACCAGCCTCAATTCACTAGTCTCTGGTTTAGGAATCTCGCTACAGGTATAGTGTCTGTGGTGCAAAATCGCAAATCCACGCATCCTATGGATCCTTTTTTTTCATTCACCAAATACACCACCACAACAATAGACTCTGGCTACCAAACCATAACTTCCTCCCAATGCGCATCCGGAGGCCGCACCCTCGTGTCGTCCTGTCCGGTCTCCCCACCAGTAGTACAGCCATACGCAGGCTCCTCACCATCCACCTCCCCAACAACCGGTGGATCATCTACCTCCTCGCCATCATCATCAGGCCCATCGTCGTCAGCAATAGGCGGCGCAGTCGCAGCCCTCCTGATCCTCGCTCTCGCACTCGGTGCCGGCCTCTACGTATGGAATAAACGCCAGGCGCGAATCAAGGCTAATAAGAATGGAGGTGCTGATATCGAGTTGGAGCATAATGTTGGGGGTGCGACGACGACGGACACGAAGGGGTTTTTGAGCGCATTGGGAGCTAGTCCTGATGCGTTGGTGCTGAGGGGGAGTGAGGTTGTCGGTGCGGTGCCGATTGGGACGGCTGGTGCGAGTGGGGTTGGAAGGACGGGTCCGTTGGATCATGGGGGTTTCTTGTCACAGAAGTGATGTGACAAAGGGGGTATTTTACATATTTTCTTAGACCAGGTACCTTAAGCAAGTAGTCATAATAGTAGTAATAGTAGTGCACTGAACATAATACAAGCAAGGTTTGCACAGTATACAACGACACAACGTCCGCTTTTTGCTGGTTGTCTAACATTTGAACATTGTCTGAGATTTGATGAGAAGACAAAACGTCCCTTTTTTATTCAATCTACCCCATCATTCACATAATGTACAAGGCGAAGTATTCTACTACTCCACTACTACTACTACTACTCAACTACTAAATACCACTTTTGCTACTGTTCTTCCAAACTTGAACTGCCTTGTCTTATAATACAAATATGAAATAATAGTCCCAAAACAAAAAAAAAGTCCTTAAATTGTCCTTTCTCTCACTATCTACACAAACTTTTTACTCCCATCGTCCTCGCTCTCACTATACAACCTCCTAATATTCTCAAACCCAGTTCCTGCCACCGCTCCATTCTCCAGCAGCAACGCAGCCACGCTCCCCTCTCCATTCGCACCACTAGTATTAGACTTTACACTGGCAGAGCGACTCGGCGGTCTCATAACACTGCTGAACAGCCCCGAAAACCCATTTCCTGTATTATTACCACCATCCTCATACACGGTGTTCATCCTCGGTATGGAGGGCAGTTTACGTGGTGAGCGCCGCGGCGACGTAGCTCCAGACTCTGATACTCTACGCTGTGGCGTTACTGGCAACGACGATGCGGAACCATCATCATCCGAGTCCGAGTCCGAGGATGGGGTTGCTGGACGACGGAGGGATGCCCAGCGACGTGGTTTGGTTGGGACGCGTGGTGCTGGTGGTGTAAAGAGTACCGCCGACGACGATGACGGTAGTGACTCGTCAGCTGTTATGGGTCGCGCGGTTGCTAGCGGCGATGTCGGAGGGCGGATTGGAGATGGCGATGACGGGGTGGATGAGACGACAGTGTTTAGATCTGATAGTGTGGATGATGTGGATGATGGTGGGCGTGGTTTTTCGGTGGATGGAGGTACGGGTGGTGCGATATCGCTTAAGGTGCTTACGAGGGGCACTAGGGATGCTTGTTGGGCGATGGATTGTGGGAGAGGGTTTGGCGAGAGGGCGTTTATTGGGAACTAGGGGGAAGGGGGGGAGGGGGTTGAGAGGTATGTGAGTTGGAAGTGCAAAGCCAAAAGAGAATTGAAGAGCAAATGTCATGATCAAGAGGAGCTTGCATTACCATGCCAGAAGCCTTTGTGACTTCGTTACGTCCTTTGGCCCATCCATCTTCAAATGTGTCACTAAGAAACAAAAAAGCGTTCAGAAACCCGAAGCAATTGCTGCTGAAGCTGCACGATGCATACCTAATAGACACGAATTCATCTACATTAAGCTGAACTTCATCATCTCTTTCCGGCACATGTCTTGACACGACTCGATACACCATAGGAGTATTTATCGAACTACGAGGCACCATTGGCGTTGTCGGTGTAGCAGTATACGGTGAATTCGGCGTTGGATCCATATCCGATGCGGGAGTAGTAGGTGATGCAGGCAGCGTAGATACAATGGATGGCGGTGCAGCAGCCGATAACTTCTTACTACTATTGTCAAACAGTGCTCCTTTAGTCAATTTCGAGCTAGGGAAATAGAACGAGTCTTTTCCAGGGAGTGATTTAGGGAGTGTTCGTCGAGGTTTATCGCGGACAAACCATGGTTTGGCGAGCGTGTAGTTTCCGATGAAGCCGAGACCGAGTATACCTGCGATTACACCTACGATTATACCGGCGACGACCATGATTGGCATACCATCTGTTTGTGTTGTTGCACTGCCTGGGATTAAGCTAGCGTCTGTTGTTGGAGTTTCGGCTGATATAGCTGGAATATACGATGCTTGTGCTGGAGTTACAGGTGGTGCTCCAGGCACACCAGGCATTTCATCAGCGGTGAGTAACAGTGTGGGAGGAGACACATTCGACCATGTCTTGGTTCCAAAATCGAAATACCAGACATTTGTATCCGCTGCTACACCAACTGCTGTGTTTCCACCGTAAACGATGAGTGTGGAGCCTACTACAGCTGCACCATGCAAGTATCGTGGAGTTGGAGCATTTGCTGGATTTACGGGTGTGATTTGAGTCCATGCACCTGTTGCTGGCCATACAATCCATATATCGTTGGCAGGGGCAGCACCATTCATACCACCGAAGAGCGCAACACGACCATCCTGCATAAGAGAACATGAATGGCCAGATCGTAGTCCTGGTGTTGGGAGTGCTAATGCCGTAGCAGCTAGATTCACCCATAGACCAGTCGTAACACTATACACCCATCCATCATCTAGTTGATTTGCAGCGACAGCTGGCATAGCAGCTGTCGCTTGTCCTCCATGTATGAAAAACCTGGAGTCGTCTAGCGCTACAGAGCAATGGAAGGCCCGTGCAGGTGGTGCTGCACCTCGTAATGCGGCGACTGCTACAGCTGTTCCGTCTATCGGGGACAGGTTTACCATAGTAGCGACGGGAGCTGCTCCTGATACACCACCAAATACGTATAGGCCTGTGGCGAGGGATACCATTGTGTGGCCGTATCGAGCCGCTGAACCTGCAGCTGCTGCTGCGAATGTAGTCCATAGACCGGACGCCATTGAGTAGATTGTCATTTGGAGAGTTCGGGCTGTTGCTACTGCTGGAATAGTTCGTCCACCTGTTATTGAAAGTGGTGTTAGTGTTGTTGGGAGATCTTGCAGTTAAAGGTCAACAAGACCATGCATAATGCATGTACGTGTAATAATATGAAATTTCAACATACCAAAGCAAGCAACAGACATTGTAGTATTCAAGTAGGCACAAGCCAAGTTTGAAGTCCAGCCCAACGTTGGAGGAGGATATGCAGCGGGCAGAGTAGCAGCCTGTACATTACTCAATTGTATTCCAATGACTGCGGTCGAAGCTACTCCAGCAGCTATACAAGATGTCTGTCAGTAACAGACACCACACAAACAATTTTCAAATGTTGATGTTGGGTACGCACCATCTCCTCCAATGATCACTAAAGACGTAGGTGTCTCGACCAATGCAAAGTCCGTTAGGGAAGGAGCGATAGCAAGTTGCGAATAAGCTCCAGCGACGACATAGCTTAGAGCGACCAGGACTTTGAAAACTTGTCTCATCTTGTCGAGCGACGATACATGTAACGGGCGAGTTCTGACGGGCAAAAGTCAAGACGTTGACCAATATAACGATCCTATATATGGATTTAAAATTATATATACGCTACTCGACGGTTGCAAGCTGAGAAAACTCGTCTACCGCACCCAAGAGTTGAAGGCAAGAAAAACAAAAGGATGGATTGGAGAGAGGAAGACAAGAAGGCGAATACGGAAGGAGAGATAAAAGGAGGAGATCTTCTGGAACATGGAAAGTTAGCGGTAAATGTTCTATTTTCAAAGCGCATGCGCATTTGATGCACGCTATAAAATGCTGTGAGCTTAAATAGTCAGACTTCGGACGGAAAGCCAGACCAAGCAAATTGTGTATCGATTTCACAGTGGGAGTCAATAGCAGTACTGTAAAGATTCATGTAAAAATCAATGAAATATCGTGCTTCTTTGCGTGTCTGATCGTGCATCTCGAGAGCTTCATAGTCCATACTTTTGATCGGCCAAATGGAACCAGGAGAAGGAGGATGAGTCAGTCTATTATAGTCTCAGGTAAGCATCTGCATACATTTTAATTGTAAACAGTTCGAGTACTAATGGTTTGTCTATTAATCAGTTGGTCAAGCTGGCAATCAGGTATATGATGACCTTTAGATCTATCCAACATCGAAAGCCGGTGCTTTTATTCTCCAAATTTAGTAACATCCCATACCTCCTTATTACAGATTGGAACTCGCTTCTGGGACAAGGTGCTACTAGAACATGCAAAATCAAACACTAAAGGTGTTTATGATGATGCAATGTCTTCATTCTTTCGTAATGTAGATCCACGGTAACCATGGCATTGCTTTCATTGAATTATCTGCATATCATACTCATTGATCTCGTTTGATTAGACGAGGTCGACAATGTATACCTATTGGTGACGGGAATGGTCAAATCGTTGGTTTGAGAGCTAGAGTAAGAACATGCAGAAAAAGAGCCCTGAAAGACAGAATCGTTACACATGCTCACTACAGCTCATTAGGCTGTATTAGTTGACATGGAAGAAGGAGTCATATCCCAAACCATGAAAACACCACTAGGAGAACTGTTCGATGAACATCAACGTATAACGAGTAATTCAGGCTCCGGAAATAACTGGTACGATAATGTCTAAAATTGGCTCTCCTGGGTCAATGGAACTAACGCATTTTTGTTTTTTTGCTGTGCTGTAGGGCAGTGGGATACGCTCACTACGGACCACTTTATCGTGAAACCCTACTAGACTCTTTTCGTAAAGAAGCTGAATACTGTGACTCGCTGCAATCCTTCTTCATGATCAACTCATTGGGAGGTGGAACGGGCAGTGGTCTTGGAAGTTACATTATGGAGTTGTTGGCTGACGAGTTCCCGGAGACGTATCGTTTCTCAACTGTGATTTGCCCGTCTGGTGATGATGATGTGGTCACATCTCCTTACAACAGGTAAACATTTTCTGCGTTGAGGACAACAAACCAGGCGTAAAATTCAAGAATGTCGGACTTCTCCTCAATGCTCACCGAAACATCACTCACGGACACATACATTTATTATTCGCGATTTAGCATCCTATCACTTGCAAAACACATTGAACACGCAGATTGCATCCTCCCCATCGAAAATCAAGCACTATTCGATATATGTGACCGAATAACATCCAAACCTGAAACGTCAACACGGAAAACAAATTCCGCAATCACGGATCCTGGTGATAAAGTGTTTGGTGGGTTGGTTGGACCTGGTGCTATATCAAAACCAAAGCCGTGGGATGCAATGAACAATATCGTTGCGAATTTGTTGTTGAATATGACGAGGTATGCAAGTTGTGATCAATCGGTGGGTGATAAGATGCCGTCCATCCTTCAGAGTTCAGAGCCAATTTTTTGCTTCACGTCACGACAAAAAGAGATGCAATATCTGGTATCAGATGCAGATAACTCACCATCGCGTTTCTCCCTTTCGAATAGTTCTATGCGCTTCGAGGGCTCGTTGAATGTGGATATAAATGATATAGTGACCAACCTAGTACCATTCCCAAGACTGAAATTCTTGGTGTCTAGCATGACACCACTTTTTTCACTATCAGATATACGAGTACCACCTCGGCGTCTGGATCAAATGTTTGTGGACGCTTTTAGCAGAGAGTCACAATTGATTAAAGCTGATCCTAAAAGTAATACGTAAGTCTTGTGCGAGAAAATGTAAACTTGTGGGTGTGCTGTTCCTGTATTGTCGATTGCGAGGAAGCCCGATTCGGGGCCAATGTCGAATCGTCCTTTTTGGTCATTCATAAACGTCTTGCTGATTCATATTTGCAAACGTCTAGGTACTTGGCGTGCGCTCTCATGGTTCGTGGTGATGTTGAGATATCGGATGTGAGAAGGAATATTGACAAGTAAGATTGAGTAGCGGCAAAAAACCCCCACAAATCAAACGGTCGATAAGCTTATCACTATCTTACCGTGACCTTCTCTCATACTCTAGAATGAAAGCAACACTGCGCTTCGCTGAATGGAATCAAGAAGGCTGGAAGACTGGGTTATGTTCACAACCTGCGTTGGGTCAGGTAAGACCAAGCCAAACACCACCGTCTCATGATTGAGGCAATGTGTTTTGCGTGTTCTCAACTCACATCTCTCTAAATTTAATCACCGTTTTCAGCAATTCAATCTCCTAACTTTGGCAAACAACTGCTGCATAACAACTACACTCTCGGAAATGAGAACTAGATGTCTGAAACTGTATAATCGTCGTGTAAGTGTGATACAGCTTGCCTGGGACACGTTAGGGATTGGATAGCATGTTTTGGTTGTTGTCGCTGACACCATATTCCCCTCTAATGGATTAGGCAAACCTACATCACTACACTCCTCATATCGAATTATCGCAATTCAAATCAAGTCTACAAGAGACTTTGAATGTAATTAAACAATACAACAAGCACGCCAAGTGATAAGCAATTTGGGTCTTCTTTGAGTTTTGGACGAGTTTCTTTTCCATTGGTGCTGATAGTTTTTGATTCGCTCGTCTTAAACCCCCAAACTCCGCAACTGGAGCAGCAAAGTACGAGGAGTCAAACCATTATGGAGTCAAGCAAGCATGTAACGTGCAACGTACGTATCTTCCGTTTAATTTCAAAAGCAGTACATTCAAATCAAACTCAGGAATTGTGCGTCTTGATGCAATGTCATTCTTTGTAGATTCAAGGTATGGAAAGGGTTGCATATGCTATTTAGACGCTCTGCATTCTGGTCTTATACTCAATCATATTTTTTAGGAGTGGTGGACAATGTATACCTTTTGGTAGTGGGCAAGGCCAAATCGTTGGTTGGAGAGCTAGAGTATGAGTGCACAAAAAACCTTGGATTCCAGAGGGATGACAACCTTTGTCTGTTCTCTAACTCTCCGCCGTCATAAGCTGTACAGGTCAAGATGCAAGATGGGTTCATCCCTCAGGCTTTGTTTAATGTGGATATTAACGAGACGCAGCGTCGCCACCATTCCCCCCTTTGCACTATCGAATCTGACTAACTACCAATGGCTGGGATCAACTGGTATGGAAACGCTTCAAATATGAGAGTCACAGATTGATCAATGCTGACTCCAAGAGGGTGATACGGTTGACTTGTTCCACGTCCGTTTTTGGTTGTCTTGTGGGGAAGGTAATCCTGTATGTCATGTAGCATGTGTGTTGGACGAGATGAAAACTTTGATGGTCGCTGGACGCTTGTCGCATGCAAAGGTGAGTTTTTGAACTTTATCGGGAGTTTCGTCCTCTCTCGCTAGTTGATCAAAGTGCCCTATCATCGTCCACTCTCTGAATCTTCAAGCTGCACTGGGAGCTTGTTTGTTGGTCTGTGATGTGGGATATTGGAGAAGTGAGAAGGGAATGTTGATCTGTAAGTTATTTTTGATGCCATGGTTCCCTTTTCTTCGCAGGCTAATTATCACATCATTTTATTCACTCCCTCTAAACAATGGAATAAAACTAGCAGCTATTGATTTCACTCATTGGAATCACGACAGGATGGTAAAACTGGGGCTAATGGGTTCTCGACTGCGTTTTGTCAGGTACATGCCAAAAAACGAGCCATAATGCTCCTTCAAGGTTGCAAATTCTTGGACCAACACTCCTCACATCTTCCGCTGTCAACGATTCGCGAATTCAATTAACTCATCGGCAACAACCTGTGTTAGTTACGAGAACGATGGAATTGTCAAATGGGGGAGTGTCAAGCTTTACGTGTGCCATAAAGCATAGACGTCTTTGCTGTTTTTGCCGACGCCGACTTATGCCAACCAAACATCATAACATTCGCATCAAGTCGAGTAGCATCGCTTGAATTGCGGTGACTGGTACTCAAAGAACCAACAAGTCCAAGTAACAAGCGGACAAGTACTTTTTCTGTCAAGCAAGCACAGTTTATAAAAGGTGTCAATATCTACATTGTTACAATTTTCGGAAGATAATACAAAAGGGGGGCTGGGCTGTATTCCTTTATAATTCTTTTCCTCAACTTTACATCTTTTACAAACGTCGTGCAGTTTATGCGGCCTAT